CAAAGTGTAAACAAACTTTATTTTAAATGTGTGCAATTCATTTTGTGAATTAAATTGCTAAAAACATTTTATAGTCGTGAAAGAAAAGTGGTTCACAATGTGTTAAAGTATTTGTCGAAGAGAAATAGGTACTAAGGGTTCGGACAATATTTTCATTGAATAATGTTTCCGACATAGATTGTCAAATTGACTGACATGTTTATCGTATAGTACAGTCCACTAAGAAAATTAAATGTGGTTTGTTTCAACTACCTATTTTAAAGTTTTTTGACCCTTTGTAAGTGTTGAATTTTATGGAATTGGGAAAGAAGTACCGAGTTTGAAGCGTTCATGAGCAGACATTGCAGTTGAATATTAAAGTTCTGAATTTGATTATTAATGAATAATAATATAAATCGTACTAACTCGATTGATGGTTTCATTTAATTTATTGAAACCAGGTTGAAACATCAAATTAGCCCGTAATCTTGAATCCTGATACATAAAGTTAGCCTAATAATTTAACACAGGTACGACTGTACTCAGTGTTGCACTATCAATGCAATTGACGTGTCTCTATGCCAGGGTTTTTATGTTCCTGGTCGGGCTATACATCTTTGCTAAGGTTTAAATTGGTTAAGAAGAAAAACCTATTAAAGACTGAGAAGATCCAAAATTGACGCGGGTGTCACCGCCAGTTGAAACTAGTATGTAAATGATATAGATGACGCCGGATCCTGATATTACTCTGGAAAAACAAACTAATCGTAGATTAGATAATGTAATCTTATTCTTGGCCTTCACATAGATTTTTAGAAAAGCCCACTTTCTAAGATCCGTATAGTATATTAATAAATCGACTGTTGTCAAGAAAACGTCAAATTAATAAATCTAAAGAGGTTACATTACAATAGTTGAGTTTCTCAAGAAATTACTTGATTTCAAGCCAAGTTTATTTAGAAATTAATCGAGTCGAGTTTGTAACGCTTACTTTAACTTACTTTTTAATTTTCATCTCGAATAATTAACAAAATGTTAAAAAATATCATTTTACATCCTACAGAGTGCCACTAGCAGCTGGTCTGTTCAACAGAGAAGTCTACTTGGAAGGTATAAAACGACGAAGGGCCCTACTAGACCACAATCCAGGCGGGTCAGCAATCTGCAACGTGCAATAACATTGGCTGAAACCCTAAGTATAAGTACCTAATTATATCTATAGTCCGGTCCCTGAGCACGTAGAATTTCGTCCAATGACCCCAAGCTACCCATCCTTATCGCTCGCGCGTAATTATATTGCTGTCGTGACTATGCGAGCGCAACAGCTTGGGGTCATTGGACAAAATTCTACGTGCTCCATGACCAGATTTTATCTATTAGGTGCAGTCAGCGTCAAATATTTCGTGACCAAAAAACCTAAAAGTTGCAACACGTCTTTGTTTCAATTGGAATAAGGTTGTGTTTGTCAACTTTTTGGCCACTATGGGCGTCACGATCTTTTTAACTCTGACTGTTTATTTACTGACTTTAAATTCACAATGCGACTGCGAAATATTTTATGACTATCAATCTTTATTTGACTTCGGTGTAGGTACTTTTGTATGGTGTTACCGGAGTACGTTAGAAAGATAAATTTTTGGTGTTAGAATCGTCGAACAATAGTTATTATTCTTAAAATGACTGCCATTAGGCGTAGTTTACAACGTGTACAGCAAGTGAGCAAAGTGAGAATTAAATCTAGCGTTCTTGTAAAGTATGACAGACTTGTTAAAACAAGCAAATTGATCACTTAACATGAAGGGAACCGTTCTACCGGTAGCTTAGGCTTTTTATCAACTTGTATTAAATAGTGGAGATACAGTCGTGGTCAACTAATTAGGGACAGATAGAATACTAAGCAATACTAAGTGTTCATTTCCTATTATTGTGAGCTTCATTCGATATTACTGACTGTTACTTTGTAAACATATTGACTATCAAGTACTCTATTTATAGAATACAATAACAACAAAAAAAAACTTACTAACGTAATAAAAAATCTTAATCAAATCACATGAATCGGTAATTATGGTACGGACGGTCTGGCCACCTAATTAGGGACGCTTAAGTTTTTCCTTCTAAATTAAAAAAAATAAAAAGTAATAACTTTTATTCTGTTCATTTGTAATTTCGGCGTCAATTTGAAAAGTGATACTCTTATCTTGCGAGTTAAAAACTCATCAAATTATTAAAGGTAATGGGCTGAAAGAAAAGCAACAATGCGCTAAGTTATAATCAATCTTTATCAGTGTGGATGGCCATACCGGTAAATAGCAGATCATCTGAAATGTTCCAAAAACATGAATCTACGATGCAGTGGCTTATTTCAAAATCATGAAACCACAGATAGTATGCCTAGAAGGAAGAGGCCAATAAAAACAACCCCACAAGATGATCGCAGAATGGTCACTCTCGCAAAGAGAGACCCCTTTAAGGGTTCCGTTCTGATCAAGAGCGAGATTTTTGGACCAGAACCGACTGCTGGAGTATCTGCGAGGACTGTCAGAAGGCGACTGGTGGAGGCAAAGCTTGTAGGAAGAGTTCCTCGAAAAGTTCCACTACTGAAGATGTTCCATCTTCAGTAGTGAAACTTTTCGACAAAGAAGCAAGATTGGCGTTTGCAAGAAAGTATGGACATTAGGCTTTTGCTCAATGGATAAATGTGCTGTTTTCTGATGAGACCAAGATAAATCTTATTTCATCCGATGACAGACAATACGTGGGACGACCTGTAATACCAAAGTAAACGAAGAAGCAGGTGAAATATAGTGGCGGCAATATTAAAATCTGGGGCTGTTTTTCTGGACATAGAGTGTAACCTATAAAAAGAACTGAAGTTAAACTTGAGCAATTCCAATTCAAGTAAATATTGGAGAAAACGATGCTATCGTATGTTGAAGAAGTCTTACCAGACTCATGAACATTTCAACACGATAACGACCCAAAACATACCGCGTTTTCTGTTTAATCGTTCCTAGCGCAACAGTCAGTGACGGTACTAGATTGGCCCGAAAACAACTCAGACTTAAGCCCTATTAGAGCTTATGGTATGAAACGAAGGAAAAAGTTGCAGCTCAACGTACTGGCACTAAAAATAAGCTTTTCGTGGCATTTCATGGTGTTTGGAATATTATTTCTTTAGAAACCTGTAATGATTTGATTGCATCCATGCCGCGCCGATGTCAAATGGTTATAACCAACAAAACCAACCATATTGGTTATAAAAATACGTTTGATGATTTTGTTTTGTATTCTATATTTATTAATGAAAACTTTTTATGTAATAAACACTTAAATAATTTCCAATTTATTTACATTTACAGTGAAAGTGTTACGTGTCCCTAATTAGTTGTCCATCCATAGGTCAATAAATGTGTAGGTGGCAATGATTTATTTATTTTAAAAATATTGATCGCAACTATCTAGTTTCTCTTCTGGCCTTTAAATATTTAGAATACTAGCCAAATTACTTGTTATTAAAAGGCACAAGCTACAAAGCCTCGTGAAGATTTTTTTTTCGGACTGGACCGGTCTTGTGTTTTAGTCATATAACGTCCTTAATTAGTTGACCACGACTGTATATCCCACAAATTCAAACATCTGGAAACTTTAGCATCGTAACATTACACGACAGATGGTAACGTCGATGTTTAAAAAAGGGTTTTTTAAAAGTTATCCAAACTAAAGCATTATTCACCTTGTTTCATTTTAGTAAAATGAACCTTTGACAAAAACTGTAGGAACATAAACGTGTCCCTAGACGTTTAATGTCACGAAATTTTTTTTCTTGCAGCTAATACAGTCAGCGTCAAATAGTTCGTGACACCCAAAATCGCCAAAGTTCGGAACACGTCTTTGTTACAATTGGAATAAGGTCGTGTTATCAACTTTTTGGCCACTTTGGGTGTCTCGAACTATTTAACGCTGACTGTACAAGGCATCTTTTAAAACTTACTTTTGCTGTACATAATTACACTCATTTTGGGAATAACAATTTACAAACTTAAACGCATAGACGGTAGTGTTTTGTTATATTTTATGTGTTTTGTTTTTAATTTTGAATGTTTATTTATTTTATTATACTTTTTTTTTAAGTTAGAACATAAGAACAGCAGCGTTAACGTGCAATGAATTTAATTAAAATAATTTGACGCTTAAAATTTTAGTTAATTTTGTGTGTACTTAGTTTATAAAGTACGAAATACGCGTAAATAATACAAAAAAAGACATTCAGCGATTTTCAATAGACAAATCTAGTCAGTGGTATGCAATAGTCTAAATGTACATTGTACAAGTATTATTATTAGTTTACTTACTTTTTATCAGTTAATTAATATTGATTTATAAAATCAAAGTGTTGTGTATTTTCAGTATTAATAGTTAGTCATTTATTTATTCGGTTTTATTTAGCTTGATGCATTGCTTATTAATTGTGTATTAATTTGATATAAATACATAGTTCATATTGATAATGACATGAGATACCGAGATACGACAAGTTAAAATGCATGGAAATATTATTTAAAATAATTACTTTCGTTGCATTCTCAAATTCGTTTGTCAAGCATTAGCTGTGAAATCAAAATATTCAATAATTTTACATCGTGGTCATCTATCTGCCTGTATTATTATTCATTTGTGTTCGTTTAAGGAATGTTTTTTTTTTTTAAATTTAAGTCGTGGAAGTTATTAGAATAACCAAATTTCGTGTCGGTAATTCTTCCAAATTACCTATTATAAAAAGTAGCCATCTTATCTTTGATGGATGTTAAAAAGGTAACATGGTGCTTAATTTTTGTATCATGTGATCTTTTTCTTGGTTGTGAATTATTTATTATGGATTTTCTTGCAGTGATCATAAATAACTGTATGGGAAACTATAATTCTGCTGATCACAGAGGAAAATTTTGCCCCCACTGGGAATCGAACCCAGGCCCTCTGGATTGCACCCCCAGCAGTTATGGTCGCTCTTATTCTTTATTGGGTTTGAATTAAAATTCACTTAATAGAGGCTCCTGGGTTAAAAACATGATCGTAGAAGTGTCTGGGTGGGAGGAAAAGCATCCAACAGACAGTGGCAATATAGTTACTAAATTGTTCTGAAATCTGAACCTTATTGCCCTGTCTTAAGGCAAAAACAATTAAAAACGTGCACGGGTGCGTTTCTAGTCACGACCTTTAAAAAGCAGTAGTGGCAATATAGTCACGTATTCGGATATACGTCACGTGACGTCTAGTCAATTTGACAGCGAACATTAATTTCGATACATCGCATGTTCGCGAGCGAATGATTTTTAGTACCTACGCGAACTCGCTGTTTATACTCGTATTACTGACTATTTATGAAAAATATTATTATATTGAAGATAATAATAACACATAATTCTAAATTATGAATGAAAACTTTGACAACCGCAGGTAAATGTCTTAATATACATTTAATTTTCAACTATAAGGGTGAAGCCCTCGTAGCATTGAGCTTTTATACTACGTAGATTTATATTGTAATGTTTATAATACAAAACTCGATGTTTCCTGCCTTAACACTGTGTTATGTAGACCGTCTTATGAAGTGTTTTAAACATTTCGTATTGATTGGGTGCTGTGATTTACTGGTTCTAGTCTCGAAACCATTCCAAATATCACAAAAGACCGTAGTAATATGTTTATGTTATTAATAACTAAAAGAAGTGTTAATCGTAGCGGTTTGCGTCGTGATTTGTAATTTTTTGTAAGGCGTTTATTCCGAAACGATGTTAAAATAACAATGTACTGTCGAAAGTACCTACATCAGTCCATACATTTTTATTGCAAAATGGCTGCTATTACAACTGTATAAGAGCACAGTGTAAGCTTGTTATGCTGTTCTCACATAAGAGACAGTGTAAGCTTGTTATGCGGTTATTTGAACAGACGTATTGGTAAAAATGCTTTTTTTCCCACTTTGGAGTGTCGTTCCAGATTATTTATAAGTCTTATTACTTATTTATTATTTGCCACTGATAAAGAAGTGGTAACGAAAAATCGACAATGCGACGCCAACTGCTGACTTTAATATTTCTTTTGTATTCTAAACTTTAAACCAGTCACAAGTTTACAAGTTTGTATATTAGACGTTTCTAAGAAATTAACTATCTTGAAGGTATACATATTGTTCGTTAGTTAAGTAAGAGTGTGGTGTTGGGGTTTTTGGGAAAAGAAAAGAGTGGGAATTTGATAGTTTCTTAATGTATGTGTACTGTAAAAGACGAAAAATACAATTATTTTGATTAAATCTTGATTTATCTCATTAATTTTGTAATATTTATTTCATTACTTTGTCTATTTTTATTGATTATTTACCGAAAAAAGGAGTTGACACCATTGACTAACATTTTATTCTAAAGTAACTACAACTTATTTCAATCTATGGGATTCTATGGGGTGTTGATGGTGGTGTCAATTGTCCAAATAAATAAAGTATTCACAAATCAATATATTTTTCAACAGATGTGAAATCTAAAGATGTATGAATTAACAGTTGTATTCTTTTGTCTTCAAAATTTACTGTATGCTTTAGCAGTATTGTCTAAAATCAAGTCAATATTGACTTACTGTTACTAACTTAACCACTGATTGGTCAAACGACTGTCAATTAAAGGCCAATCAGTAATATTTTACTACTAAATATTGTTGTTGTGTGACGTAGATAGATCAGACTAAAACAGTAGATAGTAGATGTAAAGGGTAATAAAGTGAAGTATTCCAAAAAGTTTTTGGTGTCTTGATTTCGATATGATCTAGTTTGCTAGTTAAATTGAAATAATTCTAAGAAACAAAATTCTTCAAAAAGATGTCCTTTCTAAAAAAACTGTCATGTAAGTTTACATTTGCAGAAAATAATTATTACCTGCTGAAATTGACATTCTGATAGTTTGCTACAATGAGTTATTATTACTAGATAATATACTACCATAGTATCATAGTTATTATATTTGTACCATCCAAAGATATAAATAAATCACGGCCGCTAACTTATAATCATTTCAGTATTTGCAGGAGGAACAAATCAGTCTGTCTTCCATTTGTTATAGTACTAGTCATATAAATCTACAAGTATTATTATTTGTACTTCACAGTCGGTTCATCTAAATGTCATATTATGTCAAATCATAAGTGCAGTCAGCATAATAAAAACAAACGCACAAGAAATCGAAAATGTGTAATTTTTTTTTAATGGAACTTCATAAAAAATATTAGTCTAACAATGCCTTGGCAAATTCTTTTTTTGTAATTTTATCTGTTTTTATGCAAATGCTAATGAAATAAACAGCGAAAAAAGTATACTGATAATAATTATCAACTTTCAAAAAATACACACATACTTAGTATTTCTCATTGTTATATTTTTAGCCAAACAGAAATACATATGTAAATAACATGTTGCTGACTGTACTTGCATAGAATTTTGTATTTTTGTGCTAATAGCCTATAGGTATTTATTAGATACTAGTAACTTACATAAATGTTCAATATTTTGTCTAATATGCCTATAAAATATTTTTAATGGTTTTCTATGTGAATATTTTTCACAATATAAATAGCAGAGGTTATAGGATCATTGTAATAAAAATACATACAGAAAGTTTATAATACACTCGAATTTATATTCTATACCTACATTCATATTACATACTCTTTTCGCTTGTTATCATAGTTGCACATTATTTAAGGCGTTTCTGATATTCACACGTTTTATGTAAAGCTGTTGTTAAATGAAATTGGAATTGATAAATGAAACCTGTTTAAGGCTGATACACATCGGATTCATACGCGTAAACGTGAAACTGTGAAAGTGTGACGTCACTAATCTAGATATTAGGGTTGTGCCCACTATATTATCATCAGTTGTATATCATTTCTTTTAATCATCTTTATAAGACGGGACGTGACACGGGTACATAAAATTTAAGCTTACGAATCCGGTGAGTTTCAGGCTTTAAATAATGTAATAAGGCGCATTTCACACCACCTGAAGCTAACTTAGTTTATCTAACGTTGTTTGATATTGTTAGAGTGATATAAAGTAATTTAAACGGAATAGAAAAGGGACCACGCGAAAGTGAAGTTAAGTTTAGCTAAGTTAGCTTATTTCGTGGTGTAATGCGCCTAAAATTGACCACAAAGTCGTAATTGTAGCTTTCTAAGCTAAAATGGTTTATGGTCAATTAGTCATTCAAAATAAGGAATGGTTAAACTTGATGAAGTCCGAATTTCCTCAGTGACATTTGAACTTTATGTCTGTATTGTAATGTTCAAAATTCATTGAGGAAATTGGTCACTGTGGTAGGTTGAAGTACACAGAAGAAAAGCCTTATTAAAGATATATCAGTCATAACAAAAGCAAAAGTAAAGAACTAAATTAAAAGGCTGATTTGTGACGAGTAACGCACTTTAATCTTTCAGTTTATTAAATTAATTACAATGTACTTACTTAAAAATGACATGTTATCTTTTAAAGGCAAGCACTTGCTGAATTGTATTAGACAATACAAAATGCAAATTAATTGATCCATCCTCTAAAATCACAAACACTCTTTGACTCTATGAAGACAACAAATTAAACTTAATATGTATTACTTTTAACTTCTCTACTGTTAAAATATGACATACGCAGTAATATATCTATTACTGTGTTCATATGTGAATTTAATTTCGCCAGCGAGTGCTAGCTGAAGTTGTTGTAGCATTGATATATTTTCCTGTCTATATTTCATGAATAAACATAAGTTTTACAACCTAAGTTATTGAAATGTTACGCTAAATATAGTTATCTTTCTCGCTAAAAAGACTATTATTTTTGATACTTGGCCAATAAATTGATACGTACAGTCGACGGCACATCAAGTTTAACATAAAATGCGAAATGAAAGTTTTAGTGGCTTTTGAAATCTGGATTCTTTTCAAACAAATTTTAATTTCGCTTTACCATCACAAAAAGGTTGGCGACCCCTGCCCGGCATAGTATGATGTGCGGTCGACTGTACAAACTACTTATTGACTAACGCCCGTATTCACAAACATTACTATGAGGTCCCACAGTGCGCGTGGCCGCACAGGATCACACATTAACCAATCACAGAACTCTATTCAACGTTGTGCGTTCGATTTGCTGCTTCACTTAAGCAAGTATCGTTTGTGACTACGGGCTTAAGCATATCTTATCTAAATTTTTTCTACTATTTTACTACATTATTGTACTGCCATTCGACGCAAGCGCAGCCCTTGACTCCGTCGATTTCAATGTCGCACCAGCGTTCGTAGAATTTCGAAACCCTGTCTTTACCGATGTAGAATGTTTCTTCATCTTTCACTTGCACTCGAACGGAACTTATCTTGCCATCTGAGAAAAAAAATGTTTCTCAATGAGTGCTAGGATCTTAATCAACAGTGGCGCCACACCCTTGTTAGTGTAAATATGGATAGGCCACCTACCGCTCAATAGTTGGCGCCACTGTCTTATGTAGCGTGCAGGGATGTTATGGATATCCGTAACCGTAACTGAACTTTCGGATATCCGAAATAAAAAAATATCCATTATAACCATAACCGAAACTGATTGAAAAGTTTCGGATAAAGGCGGAGTCTAAATTTTAATATTTGTTACCTACTTGTCTGGCATTCCCTGGCACCACCCAATATCCCCGCCTGTTTTACCTTCTATCATAGGTGTCGTCATAGTAACATAAAATGGCTATGTGGGTCGCGTAGCATCTAACTATTTGAGTTTTACATTTTTAAAATTCTAATATCCGTAACCGTAACAGAAACCGGTATAATATTATTCTAATATCCATAACCGTATCCATAACCAAAACTTCATATCCCTAACATCCCTGCCTGAAAGTGGCGCCATCTGGTGAGGGCAATTACGACAGCCTTCATTTGTGTCAGAAGTAAATTATTTTTTCTTACCAGCTTTGTACAGAAATCCGTAGTCTTTTGGAAGCACTTGCCCTTCTCCGTGCTGATAAAGTTTAAAATCGCATGACTGGATCGGAAACACGCTGCCATCAGAGTGGCGGCAAACGTATCCAATCGTAAGACTGCAAATAAAAAAGAACTTATTTGTAGGTACTTGTATAATACTTATAAAGTTTAATTTCTGGTGCTTTTGTAAGGTGAACAAATACTGAGCTGTTTTAATGTATTTACTTACTGCGACAAAATAGCTGGCTGCGAAACGATTCCAATTGCCATGCAATCACCATTGTCGAGGAAAATAAAATGGTAGACATAGCGGTGGAATGTCTTCCAGTCACGGAAGGGTCCTGTAAAGTTAAAATATTAGGTAAAGTAATATATTGACCATTCCCTACATAAATTCTAAAAAAAAGTCTTAGTTACTTATTTTTAAACTCACCAAAACTGTGGTCTCTCACACATGGCGTGTTCAAAGTGTGTTCTTTGCCATCGATAGTTACTGTGCCTTTTAGGAAACCCATTTGTTCATAATGTGTTTGGTGTAATCTTTAAAAAATAGCAGTCATATTAATGCACGAAATAAAGTAAGGTAGATCATTTTATGAATTACTGGTATAGCGCCTCTAGTGGCGAGATATAGAACTTTAAATTGCAACGTACTTTTTCAGCGTTTTGAAGTAGTCCCGGGACCATTGCTCTCTTGCAATGTCTTTAGCCATACAAAGTGCAGACATTTGAGTGTCGTAGTTAAAGGGAGACCAGCGTGCACTCCAGGTGGCTTGCAGCTCCACCTTGACAAGTTTCTCTGGGTTACTGCGAAGTCTGAAATGTCAAAAGTAGGTAGGATTAATATTCCATTAATAAGTATGCTCTTGTGTCTCTCACACTTGTTTGGAAAAATCGATGGCGCAGTGCAGTGTCCAGGGAAAGTGCAGTTAGGAAGTGTCCTTGAACCGTTTACACTGTGCCATCTACTGAGAAACTCCACTTTGATTTAGAGCTAAGAAGAGAGGAAGCTGAAGAATCGATACTAATCTTGTCACTTACTTCATTTCGCCCTTATAAGAGACATGCCAAGCTCGCATGGGAATGTAGTTGATAATTTCTAGCCCTTGTATCTTGTACTCTCCCGCTTCGTGGACTGTTTGTACCTGGTACGTGTCAGGGAGACATGGAGACAGTAGGAGCTCTTCATTTTCAACCTGTGAAAAAAAAATCAACCTTATGGCATTCATCGATAAGACAGTATTTGCTTAATTACATCATTTACAATTAATAGATACCTTTAAATATAAGAAAGCATCACAAACATGTCCAGCCCTTCGCGCAATTCCGCAAATCACAGCAGTTCCGTTCCGGGTCATTCCATTAAAATAAACTCCATCTATCGCCTAAAAATTGAAAAAATAAACATTACTAATATTTCATTAGTAAATTATAAAATCCATGTGTTCTTAATGAAGTGACCCTTTTCTGGAACTTACCTTAGGATTGTCTCCTAGAAAATATTTCTCCTCCAAGCGAATTTCGTCGTTGTGGATGTGAATAGTGCCATCTGAACTTTCCCCTAATTCAATGGCCATCAAGTGCTTTATATGAGCCACTAGCTGTAAATAATTAACGTGATAATAAATATAAAAAATAAATCTTCATTTCTGAAAGTGATTATTCCACCCAAGAATCGAACCTAGGACTTTCGAATCTAGAAAAACCATCTCTCCAACCACTAAACATGGAGGTTGGAGGCGTTAAGTAGTTTATCTGGAAATACCTAAAGTTTATTTATTTTTATCATTGTAACCTTTGGTGCCGACTAATCTAGCATTGAGACGCTTAAGTACATTAATTAATTAACCAATAATATTGTTACAGCTCTTTAATGAACCAATGCTAATCTGCTTCTTCTCTATGTTATTTTAAAAATAAACACATGGTATGTACTCACCTGTCTCATTTTCAGAATGATAAACATTATTATTAATTTAAACCAGTAATATTTATTTTTTACTTGATAAACTCCAAAGATCGGTTGATTATGCTTAGCATTTATAAACCTAAAGATCACTACGAGACTGGCCGGAATAAATAAAGTTATAAGCAATAGAAGCATTTCGAAAATAATAATATAATTAAATTAATTAACTTTAAATCTAGGCGAGGCACTGTTAATCACTGACAGACCGAGCGTTGTTATCACAATTTCAGTTATCATTAGATACCGATGCATATCGAAATTTGGTAAGTCTGCAGGTGTCGAGGTCCACTAAAGCACATCAAGGTCATAATACAATAAAACACTGGTGTTATTTTAGTATATTTATTTCGAATTTACCTAACAGTGAACTGACAATAGTCCAATACCAGTTGGATTTTCACTTTGAAGATACAAAATCATTCTTTTGGACACTGATTACATTAAGAGACGTTAAACGAAAATTAAATTGATTCCATTAAAGTTTCTACACAGTAGAATAGTTTTACTGTAGGAAAGAAAATAATAAAAATACATTTTCAGACTCGATACGTAACGCTAATTTGTTTAATAATTACTCGGCTGTCGCCAGCAGGTGTTTGTGGACGCATTCTTCTTTGTTGATCAAATGTGTCGTCTTGTTCACAAGTTGCATCAAGCTGTTCAAGTTATTTGACCACTCGTTGAGACGGTCTGACGCGTCCATGTTTAAGCTGGAACAATTTCAGAACAAATTAACGATAGTTAAAGATAATACGTTAGAGCAATTAAATATCATGCAATGTTTGGACTTTTGCCAAAGCAATGATGATTAATGTTATTACGCAGTCGATGAGATATTATTAGAAACGCATGGTCACTACACAGATGCAATACTTGGCGACTCGCAAGTCGATGGCCAAAAAATCGGCAAACTTGTATCATAATTTATTTTCAATTTCACACAGCGCCATCTAGCCCCAAAGTATAATAAAAACGAGTTTTGCTTCAATTGTGAGTTTCGTTTAGAGTTAGACTACTTTCCGATAGGGCCAAACGATGTGTCTAACGGTTCTCTATCAAATAGAAAATGTCAAAACTGCCCAAAAGTTACGACATGTCGACCTTAGTAATGATTTATTTGCATTTGCTTTAATAAAACATATCAAAACAGACGAACGTGTTGTCAGCGCAGGCATTGCGTCGGCAGAACGTGCTTTACGTGTGGGACCCACATGGCCATGTGAAAAAATACAAATCATGTACAACGAGGCGTAACGATCGAAAAAATACAATCGTGCGTTTTCAGCACAGGGTTAAAACGCTTACCTAAAGTGTACAACGCCAGCCGGCCGGTCGATCTTGGCTTTCACGATCGTGCTGACCACGAGTTGGCTCAGCGCTTCCTCCGTCTCTGACTCGCTGAGGCCAAGCAGCTGGCTCATACGTTTCACCGTGATGCGGGTGTAGTACATAGACATAATGCGAATGTTCTGAAACAATAGGTTTAACTTAGAATTTCCTGGACAGTGTTGTAAAGTTTTGGTCCTTCGAGCCGGATATGTCTATCATTAATGCAAAAAATAGTTGAACAATAATGAATTAAGCCAGCCAGCCATTATTTTTTTAAAGTCAGCCGATTTTCAACGATTATACAAGGATCCGTCATTGTGGAAATCCATGAAGGATTCAGCAGTGGACATCATTTGGCTGAAACGAATGATACAATTTGTGTAACACTTTTGAAAAATAAACACTAATTTTTATCTTTGTTAAGCTCTCACCTAATAAACTTGTGAAGGTACAGAGATCACTATAAACTTGAATCGTGTAAAATAAATAAAAGTTTTGACTACTTACATGTTCTACAACGCGATTCTTCAGATCGTTCCAGCGTTCCTGTCCCTTCTCATCGGCGGAATCGAAGTATGGAGTAGAACGAAGCATCTTTTCGTACATGGAGCACAGGGTGTTCCATCTAATGATTTCAGGGTTGATGAAGAGACCCAGAAGTTGTCTGAAATCAGAACAAATTGTGAAGTTGTGAAACAATAAACATTCAACATTAATAGTTTCCCTTACTCAGTGATCAAATTAGAGACAAATAGAATATTAAACAATCTATTTAATTTAATTAATTGTAGGTCTGCCTAAAATTCATAAATTTTCTCTTCTAAATCCTGATGTCTTTTTAAATAATAGTGATATCAGAAAGGTTCAGGTATTACCCTCTATGTATGTGCAAAAGTTCTATAAAATCAGTACAGATTTAATTCTCCTTTCTTAAATAACTTACTTGTACTCAGGCAGCTTATCAAGATCCTTGTCTTCATTGAGCCTGTGTGTCAAGTCCGCCTGCTCGTTGTCATACGGAGCCAGCACTAGGAACACCACACTGCCGACCAACGCATCTGATCCGGCTAACTGGCCCAGAGCCCTGAAGTGTCTGCAGACGGCGAGATACTGGCCGTTGTGCTGGTCTACCGCAATCATTAATCGGTAGAACTTTTCTTTCAACTCCTGTGAAAAAAAAAAATTTATGCAAAAAGTTTCAATATTCATACCTAATAAAAACAGGATTTTATTTTAATCACAAGGGGATATACAAATTCCAAAATTTTATTTTGCTTTTTTGTGTAAAAGCTGCGCACGTGACGTTGGCGGAAGTTAGGGTCATCATCAACAACAAAAGAAATCCAAAATTTTTCAGAGATGTTCTCATAGGCTGGGTTGCACCATCTTATTTTAACTTTAACGATTGTTCTTATTTTAACTTTAACGATTGTCAAAAATCTGTCAAACCCCATACAAAACACACCAGTTATTGTTATAGTTACTGCTAAAGTTAGCGTGTGCAACTCAGCCTTAGATGATGATGTAGAAGGAAAATATTAAATTTTAGTGATGCAAATATCTAACTAACCTGTGTATCATCCTCTTCAAAGAACTTAGTATTAATTTTCTTAGAAATAATCTGGGTACGGATGTAGTCTTTTATAGCCAAGCACAGTCTCATCTGTTCCAAAATAAGCTCAACTTTCTCTCGTTTATCCATTGACCCATACGTTTCAACCTGCAATTCTTGGATGATCTTTGCAGCTTCCGCGATATTGCCTTCTTCCTCACGGATCTTGGCCAAGATGTGAGTCAGCCTGGCCCGTTCAACTTCAACGTAAATTTTGCCCTCTGTGATAGATCTTAAGGTCTCAATGAGTTTTATTTTGGTCTCTTTGTCTGGAGTTTTATCGACATAAGTGCAACACTCTTGGACCATTTTGACAACTGCTTGTTTGAGTTGTGACCTGAAATATACAATTTAGTCTCAAAGGAAGTACTACATAAGTAACATTACATACATACGTGATCAGAAACAAAACTTATACTGTATAGATTATTCAAATTAATACCTTCTCTTTGAAAGAAGTACAATATGGTCATTCAGAGCTGACCAGTTCTTAGCCTCAAAGCAAATTTGGACTACAGCTACTAAAATCCTAGCAGTAGATGCCATATCAGCTCCCTGTAGAACAAAACAAATTGTTATATTTTAGCCTTAGTACAAATTCATCTTTAGCAAAAAAAGATTGTACGTAAGAAATAAGGTCATTTTAGACATTCGTGAATTTTATAAATCAATAGGACAATAAATTACCGTTCTCGTCTGCTTCTCAAGAGCCAGTAGCTGGTCTATAGCTTCTTGTACCTTTCCTTTGGAAGCCCATGATTTCCAAAGGGGAATTTTTTCATCGCAAGTGGTGCTATAATCCACCTGAAATATGTAAAATTAGATTAAATATAGAAAGAAATTGACGTTGAAATAAGATTATTTAATGTAAACAGATAACTTAAATAAAAAACAAAATAACCCTTCTTCTGGCACAGTCAGTTAAAAAATAGATAAAATGTTGGAATAGGATAAAAATAAAAGATGCACTCCAAAACTTTGATGGATTTTAATTTTTAAAGTCTAATAAATAAGCTCGTAAGACTGTACCGATAGAATACCTACTTACCTACTAATTTTTGGTCTATGAAACACGATTATGATACTGTCTTTGTGCATCAAGAACAAAGCATTTGAAGAGAATTTGTACTTACTTCCATTTTAATTATTTTTCCACTGGCATCTAGGCCACCAATATCTCCGTTTGTAGTCATTTTTAGATAAATTTCTGAAAATAACAGGAGTTAGACGTGGTTAACATTTACCAGGTGAGCAGATGTGAAATACAACATGGTTATAAATGTTAAATCTTAAATAAGATTGAAACCAGTAAGGAAGAAGATTATGCTTATTATACCTTATTTAATTCAGTAATTACAGCACAACAAAACGCTATTTTTCAGACACAAAATAAATGCAAGCTCATCAGAGTGACAGCTAATCAGAAAATAATTGAGTGAGTGAGTAGTGAATGAATGCATCAGAGCTTGACATTAGCATTGACTTAGTAATCTCTATAGACTTATCCTACGCACAAAATAAGCTGGAACATACAACCTTATTAAGTTAACTGCGCACCTCGCTGAATACGAGACTCCTCACACTCATCTGCACACCTCCCCGCATTCGCCCCGTTCGTATCAGGAGCGTCGATGTGACGTCACTGCTACCAGATGCGAAATGTAAAATGTTGTAATCAGTTGCAATTGACGCGCCTCTATGCCAGGGTTTTTATGTTCCTGGTCAGGCTATAAAGTGGTTACCATTCCGGAATTTTGCCATCTAATTGACACGGAATTTAAAAAAAATATAATATTTCATAAACTTACAAGTTTCTCCGGACCTACTTGAATCCTCTCCGTGTGTGAGTCCAACTTGCACTCGACCAGTGTTTTTTTTTTCAACTTTCATGCGATGAGCATTTACCTTTATTCACGGTCGATATTTAAAAAAAAACAAAGACGTTCATAATCGTTCGTTCATTTCATTGTTCATTCATTTTCGAGTTGCTGTGCGAGTGTGTGGGGGACCGATCGAAATGAGATGATTTGGATTTATGTGTGTTGGTTACGGATTATGGCGTAGAAAGTGTGGATTGATTTTAGTTTTTACATTTTGTAATTTTTGTTTTCTTATATGACGCAAATCTTATCAGATTTAAGCATTTAATGTATAGGATACCAACCCAAAGATAGTTTTTGTACGTGTGATGTGTGTTGTGGCTACTACTTGGTAGCCTCAGTTTTCTTTGTTTTGAGAAACATATGCCTATTATCTAAGATTTTAGTCGTAATTAGCGTGGATAGTTCTGAAAAATGGGTTCTAATATGGATCGTGATGGTGCAGTACCCTCTAGCAGTAAGGGAAGAAGTCACTCGGCTCAAGGTCTACCCAGTACTATTTCTAGTCCAGCTATGAAAATACCTTTACCTCCGCGCTTATGGATTACAGGTGAGAATACTCCTATTAGATTTGCTCGGCGAATTTCACTAATAATGGAATGCTGAACTGGTTTTATGTAAATAACTAGAGATTGAAAAAAAGTATGAAAATTATGATGATATTTTTTACTGTTTATCACCTGATTGCATGAAAAAAATATGACACGTAAACAGCTTTATTGGATATTTCTTATCAGTATTTATTTACATTGTACTGTTGTGTGTTGATATTGAATTTTCATAAACATATATTTTATTAGGTAGGTAATTCAACTCAATTCAAAATAGGAAATATTTATTTGCATAGTGACTCAGTGAAAAAAATGTGTAGAAGAAAAACTCAATAAATGTGTTATTTTAAATTGGGAGAGGTGTTATGTTACAATATTTTAAGTATTTTATAGTAATATTTTATGATGTAGTTATCATTCATAATGTAGGCCATTTGAACAGGTGCTCACCTTGTGGTTATTCTACTGAAAAATCACAAATTTCACTTGACGTAATGTTTCTGATTATTTATTCAGTGTTGAGCAGATAACATTGATATTGAAGCTCATGCGAATATCAAATTGGGTTATCGTTGAAGCAGTTAACTAATAGGTATTAAGGGTTTCATCAGCTTAAAAAATTATAACCAATAAGAATTTGAAAATCTAATTAGGTCAGTCGCAATTTCAAGATTTATCAGCAAAAGTAACTTAAGTTGCTCTATGGTTGTTTGTTTGAATATAATTTTCCTCCAATTAACTTTTATTAGTATACCTATTATTATTAAGAATGACAGATTGCTCACCCCCCACATTGCAGGGTCATTGTATTTTTCAATGTACCTAAGCAACATCCAGTTTTAGAAGTCTTTAGATTGATAACTTTACTAACTCACACTTCTTACAAAAATAATATGTGATGAATAAATAATATAATAAGTAAAGTTTGCTATAAAGAATATCTTGGTTTTTATAAAAAAAAAATCAATTTCCCCTTATTATAACTTTAGCAAGCTTATTACTGTCTCCAGCTCCACTGAAGTAGAGTAGAAAAGAGACATGCAATAAGTGTCTAAATTAAATGGATATAATGTAGTGAAATAGTCATAGCAAAAAGGAGAATTGTATCAAAATGCACAAACTAAAATTCATCGATCAAAATGAAAGAAAGAATCTAATAAGTTTCAAGAAGGACTCATGCATGGAAATTTTTATCTTTTAGCAATGAGTGGATTAGGGACTTGTACATCCCCTCTCTTTTATTTAATTCAAGAACCTGCATATGCGACAGTATCATTTAAAAATCAAAGTAGCAATATGGTATAATATTGTCCACATAGATTTTGTTTAGAGTTGCTACATTTTTTCACTGCTTTCACCTCTATCTCAAAATTTTCATGTGGAACTGCTGCTGTTTCAGTTCCACTGAACACACACAGCCTTATACACATACATTAAGTGTATGTATTTCCACTGAAACAGCAGCAGTTAAAATTCACATTTGAAGTAATTGATAGGTCATTATCTGCCACAAAGTGCAAATCAATTCCTTACTAAAAACATTAGGTGAAAGGAGGTATATCACATTTCTTCTTTTACAGACATCGAAGATGAAGATTCATCAGACGAAATAGGAGGAAGTACTAGAGATGATTACTTAACAAGTGTCGAACGTCCCCGTGTCAGGTCTAGATTTCGTCATCACAAGCCTAGACAACAGAATAAGGTGCCTGTTGGAATATTTTGGGATATTGAAAACTGCCAGGTATGTTGGTTTTATTTCTCGTCTTCATTCGTTTGTTCGTTTTAGCTAAATGACGTCCACTGCTGGACAAAGGCTTTCAAGGATTTTCATGATGACCGGTCTTGCGCTGCCCGCATCCAGGCTCTTGCCGCAACCTTCACTACCTTTCTACTACATTACACTATATTATAGTGACTATAAGATTACTTGTTATAGGTACCCCGTGGCTGTTCTGCGATAGATGTGGCTAAGGCTATTCGTGCCAAGTTCCTAGTTGAAGGGCGTCTTGAAGGAGAATTCATTGTTGTTTGTGATGCACGAAAAGAAGCGCAATTTAGACTGCAAGAGCTCAATGATGCTCAGGTATGCATACATTGCATTTTTATGGATCGTTTCATCCACGAAGACGCGCCCCGCCATTCTTCCGCTAATGTTTGAGTGTTATCGGTTTCGGTACACACTAAATTATCCATGAGTGCACACGCACACTCCAATAATGACGCTCGGATTGCTTGGATCAAACTCCCTGCGCCCCGCGCTTCCCTCTACCAATAATTGGTAGGGCGCGTCTTTGTGGATGAATCGATCTGTAATATTGTTTGTGGTAAAGAGACAATTTTAAAACCTATTTCTTTGTGGACAGGTAAACCTCTTTCATGTGTGTGGCTCACAGAAGAATGCAGCCGATGAGAAGTTGAGACAATGCATGCGAAAGTTTATTGAACTCTATGGGCCAGCTGTTATAGTTTTGATCTCTGGTGATATTAACTTTGCCGCTGACTTGAGTGACTTTAGATATAGGTAAATATACTGGTGCTGGTTTTCTGGTCATATATTTATACTGTAAAAAAATGTACACTAATGCCATGTGATGTTCTATGCCAAGTGGCACTGAACTCAGGTTGGTTATTCAATATTTTTTATAAGATTTGTACATTGCATGTGCAATTAAATTATCAAAATATGTGTTGTATTTATTATAATAGTTAATATTAGGTGTTAAGCAACTCGTCATACACTGAAATAATTTTAGAGTTATGTTCATTCACACTGCTGCCATTCATATTTTTATTTTTTACTATTACATTTTGTGTCAAGATTCCGAAAGTTTCTAACTAGTTGATGTTTATATCACGCTCCAATGATATGAGTAAAATGATTATTATTTATTGCACATGCATGATTATACTTCTATTATTAATTATTTTATTACATTTATGTATTAGGAAAGGTATGGAAGTGATATTGGTGCATAAACAGAACACATCATCTGCCTTAATTGCGTGTGCCTCGTCCCATTACTCTTTCAATGATTTGACTGCCAATCTGCCAAGGAATTCAAAGGTACACAGCACAAGACCCTATCATCCATTTGTTTTTATTTTGTTAATCCAAATAAAACATATTATTATTATTTTATTATCTAATTTATACAACTACAGATATTAAAAACTTAAAATAAAATAACTATAATTTATGGGAATGGTGATTGGGATTATACAATAATTACACATTGAAATAAGATTCCAATACATTTTATATGTATAAGAAAAAAAAAACAAAATTCTTACTTAAGAGTGTTATTGTTAATTTTTTTATCAATATCGATAAAATAAAACGGTTGTAACGCCTAAAGTAAATTTTAATTACAGTTAGATAAGTTACTCTTTTTATAACCCCCTCAAACCAAACAGGAATAACATATTGTTTCGTCATATAGGTGTACGCAGCGGAAGATAAGGCGATAGATGAAACGAAGTGCGAGATGGAAGTGGTGAATCTGCCAACCGATCACCCGCCGGAGCGCATTTCGCGGCGCCTGCGCCGGTTGGCGGACAACTGCGGAGGGAAAGTGTTGGGGGTGACAGCCTCCACTGCCATGCTAAGGTTCCCCACCCCTGACCACGCTTTGAGGTGAGTCGATTTGATTTTGACTGATACTTTTATTGGATTTATTTATGTTCAAAATGTTATTGTGATCAAATACAATCTAATATGTACTACCTTTAGCCTAGGCGCAGACCACCAACTTTTGGTTTGCCGGTAGTTGAGTCGGGCTGTTAATCAGTATGGAGATTGGAGATGTATGAAAGTGCGCACATTACGCCGATTTGGTGTCGGCCAGTTCTTTATACAGGATGACTGGAACTGAACCCGCCATAGCTAATAGGCGTATAGAGGAGGTCATTTGCTAATTATTAAACCTTACTTTCTATGGCTAAAGTTTAATAGTTTAGGAGATATGTCAATTTTTATACTTTTTTCAGATTTTTCCGAAATTTGACCTAAAAACTGTTTCAATTTTTTTTCTCGCGTGATTTCCACAGTTTTTTTTATTTGATATTAATATCGAACATGTCTTTATTCAAATAAAATAAATTTCTGATCCAGATAATGATTGAATAGCTAGTTACGAGCCGCCAAAGTTCAACAAAAGTACAAACCACGATAAAAAATTCTACTTCAAATTCGATAGAAACAAAAATTAATGGTGATAATGGATTTCCAATAATCTTAAAAATATCTCCAGCTTTTCTTCTTTCCAATGATATATCACACGTTGTAATTGGATATTGAAATTTATCAAAAATTCAAAGTTTATGGAAGAAAATGGAGTAATAATACAAAAATTATCCATACAAAGTTGATTTTTAATTTTTTTTATAAAGAATTTAGTCAGATTAGCTCAAAATTAGGCAAAAAATGGGTTTAGTTTGGTAAAATTCGGGACGATTTTGTGACAAGGCCGATTGGTGTTGAATGGCTGAATGGTGAAAACTTCAAATTGATACACGTGTTTTGCATCCATCTACGTCATCTTCAGAAAGTCAATCTAGTAGGTACTTCAAGTCCTGGTCGCCCAAAGATTGACTTCGTCCAAACCGCGTTCAAAACAAAAAGAAGACGCAACGAGTTGACGATTTATTTAAGTCCTACAGTACCTACTGACGATTTGGTAATGGCCGCCCAAGTATTGTTATAGTTTTATTTAATTTCCATTATTTTTTAACCAGCTGTGCTCGCGTCTTTGTATGCGTAAAAATAGTTTATTAAATAATACTTCCCGTTTTTGCAAAATTTTTCTTTACTGCTCCACCCCTATTGGCTGTAGGGTGTTATATCGACTAATGTCTTTCTTGATAAATGGGCTATCCAATACAAAAATAATTTTTCAAATCGGGCTGTAGCTTAGTTCCTGAAATTAGCGCGTTTAACCAAACAAACAAGGTCTTCAGCTTTGTAATTTTAAGTATAGAAAGCCATCTTTAAAAGTAATTAGGCTTAGGTTTAGCATTATACCTTAGTACTTTTACAGAACTAGTGCAAAGATGTTAAAATATCAAGTACCAGTATAAAAAAACAATAATTTACCATAACTAACAAGTCCAATTTAACTAGACCTCCATACACGTACAAAATGTTTAATAAAGAGGGTCAGCTTATGCTGGTTTTTAGTTTTATAATTATTAAAAGCTTTCTGTTCATTTTTTTAAACATATTATATCAAAGTAAGAGTTTTTAAAGCGTTTAGTACCTATTTCGAGCCTTAAATAATTTTGTCCAGCTAGATTGGCCTTTTGGTTCACAGTGTGTCGTCGACATAAGGCCGTCTATAAGTTTTATATAACTTGCGTAAGTCGCTTATCGTAATTTCTTACAGCTTGCATATAGAGCCAGTAATTTTGCGGAAGCAATTTACAAGTGTAAAGAAAGTTTAGTTTTCAAGTCATTGTTCGGCGATAATACGTCTATTATGTATGTCATGTATTCTTTTGAAGCGTTGTTGAATAACGGCACGCTAATAGCTATTCATAGCCGACAAGGATACATAAATTGTACCTACCTGTTGTGATAACGATCGGTGATATAAAATAAAAACTCCTTTAAAGAATAGCAAGCTACTGATAAGTGACGATGGAACTACCCCTATGTTTCTAGAACGAAACGTTTTAAAGATTCAAAGAGTAATTTAATGCTAACTGCAAATTATGCAATGATCGTTTCCACCTGTGGTGGCAAGGGCGACATTCAGCGGTGAACTAATAATGGAGTTATTTTATATGTTTTAAAACTTTCACATAGTCGTACACACGCGGACTGTGTGCTAGAAGTAGTCTTACAGCTTATTTGCTAATCTGCACCTTAACGAATGGTCACATAATAATGTTTCCATTTCATTCTTAGATCAGTGACAAGTGAAAATTACTTTCTTTGTTATAGTTTACTATGTAACATTATTCGACATAAAGATACATATTATTATGTGATAATTATCATCATAATAATTTAATACCTCGTCGATCACACGAATCGACGATGTCCTAATGTGTCTGCTTCAACGAATAACATTATATAGGCTATCTATTTATAAGTTTATTATGCATTGCTTTAGATAACACCGGCCAAGTATTGCTTACTTCATGAATAAATTACTGAAGTAACGTTTTACTGTAAAAAGTGCTATAATAGCGATTACAGACTATTGTTTCACTATCCGCCGTTGTAAGATTAGTAAAATCAACACAATGGAATAAAAACGTGCAATGCTTTTTCTTAGATACGTCGCATGCTGTGCACGTTTGATTTTTCTTTAACTACCTATTTCAAAACCTCATTACTGTGTACCACTGTGAAAACATAATTTAAGTACATTCTATGTGTTAATAATTTTAGAACAAAGCAACGTTAAATGTTTTAAAAATCCATTGTATCAAAGATTTTACAAATTGCATTCGTAGAAAGGCTAAATAAACTGAAGTAACCGATTAATAGCAGCAAATCGATTGCGATTGTTGCTGAATTATGATTCAACTTCCTATATTTACGTGTAATGCAAGCAGGTTATCGTAACATTCAAAGATGATAAAAACGAGTTGCGCCATTCATAAAATATTGTTAATATTTTTATTTACAAACTTCACCGCACAGTTTCCGAACGAAATAATAGTTGGAAATGTAGGTACTTTTTTGGGTGCGAAATCCGTTAATGACGAAAAATTTAGATGTACCCACATTTAACTGAATTTCCTACTTGATCATCTGTTCTTGTTTTAAACGGTCATTGCATCGCCGGGCACAAGCAAGGACACAGTGATTACAACAACTTGAAAAAATAAAGCCAACGGTCGATTTTTGCAAAATTAATTGTGGTAAATTAATGTTAGTTGATAGGCCAATTCATTTTACAAGATTTTTAATACATCAAAATGCTACTAACTGGGTAAGTTTTCTTTATTTCTCTTATCGCAAGTTAATTATTTTTCGGATTTTCTATTTGAAAAATGTTTTTTTTTTTCGGTTTATCATAATTTAATCCGCCTTTCTACCAATTTTATTTGGTTCGTTTTTAGGTTACGCAATTTCTTTTTTTGTTTGTATTATCGTTGTATTAAAATTTAGAATCAAGAAATGTAGATCTTTAATAATTTTGTTTTAATTATTTAAAAAATGCATTATTTTAATTCGTTCTCTCGTATTTTATAGAAAGGAAAATTAGTGAAGTTCGTAAAAATGGTATTGTCAACGATTTCCGTAATTTTCATGTAGCTTATTAAATCTCAAATTAAAATTAGCACGTTCGAATGCATTTCACAATATATGATAATGTGTTTCTTCATTAAACAATCATAAGACAACGGAAAATGATTAGCCACAGTGCGATAGTGATCAGCTGATTCTTTGTAAGCGTGACTCACACACGGCGCAGCAGTTGAGATTTAAAAACTCGTACTTTTTAGCATTTCATTTCAAAATCTAGTAGTTTTTTAAAAGTGTTATTGAGTATTGAAATACATTAGAATTAAATTTTGTTACGAATAATAACGTTATTTAGCTATAACATTTATTTAATAACAAATATTTTTAACTTCTAACTTCACGACGATTTTCTTCTTTACTCTGATTTTATATTAGTAATGTATGTTTTAAAGAATGTTCAATGAAAAAAGCTCTGAAACCATGAAATTTTGTGATGCAACTGGCGAACGGTGTTTTAACGATGAAATGAAACTCAGTGATTTGAGCTTTATAATTTACTGTTTAGCTATAAATTAAAACTAAATGCCCGCCGCTGATTTCAATATTTATGTTAAACCAATAGAAAACCTATTGAAGTGCAGTGCATTTTCAGTAATGTCAGTTATTTAAATAATAAAGCATCTACTGCCTACATCTGTAATTTTTTTTTAATTTATCCTCAATTAAAATGGACTCTGACTGAAATCATGATGTCATGATGGAAAGGTGGGCAGTGCATATGAAAATTTGGGCGGTGCCCATTCAGTCAACGGTTTTTTATCAGTGGTATGATGAACTTTAAAATAAAACTGTTGCCCTTCTCTGCTTTTATGTAAATTATAATAGTTTTTTAAATAAACCGTTGGTTGTGACGATTCAAATACGTGCAGTTTCATAGAATGTGGGCGCTGCCTACTTGGGAAACGGTTTATTGCTGATAAAAGAACCTTTGTTAGCTGTTTCTCTGGGAGAAAAGTAGTTTTTATAAAATCATTTTTTGTAATATTTATATGCCCAGTGCATACTCCTAAAATATTTCAGATTATAACTTCCTGCTGATAAAGGCTAAGGAGTGAAATTGCTCAAAAAATTCGTTACGACGACGTTCTGACTTCTTAGTACTATAATATCTTTTAAGAAATCTACACATACATAAAACTATAAAAAGGAATTACGATAGCTAGCTGTGACACACATTCAAACATTCATCCTATATAAATAGTAGTCTATTTACATTACTACATTATATTTTTCGCAAACAATGTTATCGATATCATAAATGCGTAATAACAACATACCTACTTTTAAATCGATGTGAATTTTTTACCAAACGGGTTTAGACAGTTATTGTGTTGTATACTTCCGACAAATGCCGCCAATGACCGTCAATTTTTTATTCTAACATTGTCGTTTCCTTGCTATATTCGTTGACTTCGAATAACCTTGCGATTTATCCTCGATCAAAAGCCATGACAACAGATACTTAATGAGAAATAGACTATGACAAACGCAATTAAGTAGATGTGTAAATAAAGTTTTAATGTTAACATCTGCTTTTACCTATAATTTAGACTTCATAATTTATTAAAATCAGGGAAAACTTCAGGCTCAGTCAACTCCTAGTTTCTTTATTAGACTATGGTAACTTACTTTTTGAAACTAATCTGTTATTAAGTACACCGTCAATTTGGAATAGTTTTTATCAGCTGCTTCTCACCAGCTGTTTGTATAAAACACAAAATACCCACGTTTGAATTTTATCTTTTGTAGGTTTTATTTTTCATATTAAAATAAAAAATTAAGACATAAGCAATATTTAAAATCTAAAAATGTTATCGAGTTATTTTAAAGAATTACTTGTAAATGCTGCCTAATTCTCTATTTCATTTATCTGCATTATTTATCTACCTTACAAGATAATGTATTCTGTGAATTGAAATGAAAATGCAAATCGAGTGTCATCATAATACAGTATGATGAGATATGATAATACCAATAGGTAATATTTGTCTGTTCCAAATAACGTTCTACTGGGTTATTATATCGATTGGACTCGCATCGATCGTATTATGAATGCACATTGCAGGTGCTGTTTTCCCTTTGTTTTGTAAGCTAACCCAGATATGACGTCACTTGTGGTTTGTTCTTCACGGAGTCAAGTGACCGAGTTATTAATTTCAATAAAACGATAGTTTAAAAATACGAATAAATAGTATTACCGACTATTATGATAAAAAAAAATGCATTTATGCTTTGTGCGCAAAGGCACTGAACGGATTTCAATGAAACTGTGCGGTATTAATAAGTTTTAAAAACTTGAGTACCACCACTTTCCACATCTTAACGATGTGTATCAGCAGCTCTTTACAGAAAACATAAACTAGTAACGCGATTAATTTCAGTCATAAATTCTTTCTTATGCTTAATGCTTGAAATTAAATACAGTTTTCAGCTTCGGTGTTTTAATTGGTACATAAGGCGAAGTTCATTCCATAGGGCATTCTTTGCAGTTCTTTCTGTAATTTGCATAATCTCTAATCCTTGTCCACAGAGCTATGAAGCGTATGGACGGTGAAGACGTGTTTGGTCGCAAGATCAGTACGCGTTACGTCCGCAGCGTGTACGAACAACCGCAGCCGACGTACTCGAGTGACGAGGGCTACGGCACGGCCACCACCGCGCCGGCGCCCTCGCGCAGCGTGTACGCGCCGCCGCCGCAGGTGCGTGGGATTGTCGACCTTATGGTTGTAGTGGTTTAGGTTCTATTCTATAGTCGATATCATTTGGGACTACCATCGCGCCGCCGTTCTCGCGCAGCGTGTACGCGCCGCCGCCGCAGGTGCGTGGGATTGTAAACCTTATGGTTTAGGCACTATAGTCGAAGGCACAAAGACTAGGCCGCCGCGAGTGCGTGGTATTGTCGACCTTATGTTGTAGTGGCTTAGGTTCTATAGTCGATAGCACATGGGACTAGGTGTAGAAGCAACCGCAGCCGACGTACTAACGTTACCGCGCCGGCATCCTCGCGCAGAGTGTACGCGCCGCCGCCGCAAGTGCGTGGTATTGTCGACCTTGTGTTGTAGTGGTTTAGGTTCTATAGTCGCTAGCATATGAGACTAGGTGGAGGAGCAACCGCAGCCGACGTACTCGAGTGACGAGGGCTACGGCACGGCCACCACCGCGCCGGCGCCCTCGCGCAGCGTGTACGCGCCGCCGCCGCAGGTGCGTGGGATTGTCGACCTTATGTTGTAGTAGCTAAGGTACTTAAATAGTCGCCACTCGCCAGCACGTGGTGCTAGATGTAGCAACCGCACCGATGTGTTCTAGTGGTTTAGGTTCTATAGTCAATAGCATATAGAATTAGCTGTAGAATCAACCGCAGCCGACGTACTCGAGTGATGAGGGCTCGATACCGCGCCGGCGCCGCAGGTGTGTGGGAATGTAGACCTTATGGTTTAGGCACTAGTCGACAGCACATGAGACTAGGCCGCTGCAGGTGTGTGGGATTGACGACCTTGTGTTGTAGTGATTAAGGTTCTAAAGTCGATAGCATATAGGACTATGTGTACGAGCAACCGCAGCTCGAGTGACGAGGGCTACGGCACGGCCGCCACCGCGCCGGCGCCCTCGCGCAGCGTGTACGCGCCGCCGCCGCAGGTGCGTGGGATTGTAGACCTTATGTTGTAGTTCTTTAGGTTCTATAGTCAATAGCATATAAGACTAGGTGTAGGAGCAACTGCAGCTGACGTACTCAAGTGATGAGGGTTACGTTACCGCACCGGCGCCCTCGCGCAGCGTGTACGCGCCGCCGCCGCAGGTGCGTGGGATTGTCGACCTTGTGTTGTAGTGGTTAAGGTTCTATAGTCGACAGCACATGAGACTAGGCCGCCGCAAGTGCATGGTATTCTCGACCTTATGTTGAAGTGGTTTAGGTAGTATATCAGACTTAGGTGTCCTCATACAGTGTAGTAGCAACCGCAGCCGACGTACTCGAGTGATGAGGGCTCGATACCGCGCCGGCGCCGCAGGTGTGTGGGAATGTAGACCTTATGGTTTAGGCACTAGTCGACAGCACATGAGACTAGGCCGCTGCAGGTGTGTGGGATTGACGACCTTGTGTTGTAGTGGTTTAGGTTCTAAAGTCGATAGCATATAGGACTATGTGTACGAGCAACCGCAGCTCGAGTGACGAGGGCTACGGCACGGCCGCCACCGCGCCGGCGCCCTCGCGCAGCGTGTACGCGCCGCCGCCGCAGGTGCGTGGGATTGTCGACCTTGTGTTGTAGTAGCTAAGGTTCTATAGTCGACAGCACATGAGACTAGGCCGCCGCAGGTGCGTGGGTTTGTCGACCTTATGTTGTAGTGGTTTAGGTTCTATGTTCGGTAGCATATGGCACTAGGTGTAGGAGCAACCGCAGCCGACGTACTCGACTGATAAAGGTTACGACACGGCCACCAAGGGCTGATTTATGGGGGGACATTGCACAATGTAATATGGAGTTCGATACTCCATTTTTTTTACAAGTCGCGTTCATTTAAATGCCCCCGTGTCGACCTTGTGTTATAGTGGTTTAGGTCGCATAGTCGGAAGTGAGAGCAGTTTGTACCCACCGCCATTTTGCTCAATTATGCCATTTTGTGTTTTCTTCGTTTATTAATTTATTTTATCAGTTTTAATTTCAATTGGTATTTAAATTTATTTCAATCATCTGACAGGCTAAACCGACACCTCGTCTTGCGCTAATGCCGAGCACGTCGAGCGGCCCGAGCGCGTCTGGCGACTGGTCGCTGGCGCTGCAAGGGCTGCCCGTGGCAGTGCCGCCTCCGCTCGACTTCTGCCCGCCGCCCGCGCCCAAACCGAGGAAGATTAGGGGCACGCATGGTAAGTTCAAGTATCAATTAATATCTCCTAACAGGTACCCTAGCCCTGCCTAGCGTCGGTACTCAGCACTGCGTATAGCGACTGGTCGCTGGCGCTGCAAGGGCTGCCCGTGGCTGTGCCGCCTCCGCTCGACTTCTGCCCGCCGCCCGCGCCCAAACCGAGGAAGATTAGGGGCACGCATGGTAAGTTCAAGTATCAATTAATATCTCCTAACAGGTACCCTAGCCCTGCCTAGCGTCGGTACTCAGCACTGCGTATAGCGACTGGTCGCTGGCGCTGCAAGGGCTGCCCGTGGCAGTGCCGCCGCCGCTCGACTTCTGCCCGCCGCCCGCGCCCAAACCGAGGAAGATTAGGGGCACGCATGGTAAGTTCAAGTATCAATTAATATCTCCTAACAGTTACCCTAGCCCTGCCTAGCGTCGGTACTCAGGACTGGTCGCTGGCGCTGCAAGGGCTGCCCGTGGCTGTGCCGCCTCCGCTCGACTTCTGCCCGCCGCCCGCGCCCAAACCGAGGAAGATTAGGGGCACGCATGGTAAGTTTAAATATTCTCATCTCCTAACAGGTATAATCCTCGCCCTGCTTAGCGTCGGTACTCAGGACTGCGTATAGCGACTGGTCGCTGGCGCTGCAAGGGCTGCCCGTGGCAGTGCCGCCGCCGCTCGACTTCTGCCCGCCGCACGCGCCCAAACCGAGGAAGATTAGGGGCACGCATGGTAAGTTTAAATATTCTCATCTCTTATCAGGTAAAACCCTCGCCCTACCAAGTGTTGGCACATTAATGTTAATGTGGTGTTAAACTCTGCTGTATACTTTGGCAAAAGGAGATTTGGATCCCCAAACAAAGGGCTCACTTGGCTTTAGTAAAGTGAGCACCTGAGATTTATTTAAAAACAAAAGAAAATTTTCTTCGCTACCTGAATTCACTCGTACACTCACTGCGGCCGCTCGTCGCACAGTCGCGTCAATTACGCTCGAGCGATAGGGATGGGTAGCTTGGGGTCATTGGACGAAATTATGTGTGCTCGGCGACCGGACTTTAATCATTATTCTCTTTTCAGGGTCGGTGAATCTGGACCGATCCGGGTGTTCGTCTACCAACAGCGCCGAGGAGAACCGCCAACGCGACACCAGCCAGAGTCGGGCTATATCCCCGTGGAACTCGTCCACTTTTAGTGAGCAGAGCGAAGGCGACTGCGAGTCCACTGCCGAGCTCACTGTGGCTAATTTACCGCCCTACGAGCCTCAAGTGCTGCAGGTAGAATAATAGACCTTATTGTGATAGACATAGGTGTCAATAACCAGCAGAGTCGGGCCATATCCCCGTGGAACTCGTCCACTTTTAGTGTAGCCAGTATCTACAGCTTGACCGCCAATAAAAACCCAAAACTTTGTCTCGGGGGAAAGTTAAACTGCAATTAATCAAAAGAACATAGGAGGAGTTCGAAGTTAATATTAGATCACAGTATTAAGATACCTCTTCTTTTCAGGAAATGCTGTCGCAACTGTTCAACCAATACGTGCCCGTGGTCCGCGTATCAGTCTGGGCGGCCGGCGAGGGTCCCCTAGCGACCGTAGTGCTTCGCTCCGAGTGGGACGCTCGCCTCGCCATCGCTCGTGTCCACAAGCGCCGCCTGGACAACCAATGGACCGGCCGCAGGCTCGAACTGTCCCTCGGCAGGCCGTCACCGACCCCCAATCTAGACGTTCTACGAGCTAGGCTACGCGCCATCCTTCTAGACCAGAAGAACTACATGCTTCCGCTATTACGTCTCCGTGACGCCTACGCTAGCCGTCACTGTTGCGCTCTCACCACCTCAGACATCGCTAAAGTGAAAGACACTGTTATTATTCACGAGGGATTCGGACGCATGGTCCAACTGATCGATTTGACTCCCGTAACCAACACTGAGGTCGAGGAAGCCCCGTGGAAGTGCCATATCCACGCCGCCTTGAACACTGGGCACGAAGACGGAAGCCGCATACTGCAACCGGTGTACATGGAAATCTCTTTGTTGGCTAAGAATACTCAGATGCTGTTGGAGAAACATTGCGGCATCTTGCCTTTGTTGAGGTTAGTAGCGTTACTTTGTATTCTGTAATAATTTTAATAATACTCATCATGTTTTAACTTGTATAAATTCCCAGTTATAGAACTAGAATATTGATAAAATGTTTGTCAAACTTTTATGTATCATCTAAATTTTATTTGGACTCCAATTCTGTTTCTATCTTCAATGTTTTTATTTTTCGATTGCCATAAGCGCGAATTGAGTCCACTACCTTTGATCCCTGAGTTATGGAGATCTAGCTCTAGCTAGTAGAGAAGAACTAAAGAAGTCGAAATTTCCAAAACTACAGCAGAGGCTGCTCGCTCAGCAGTAGTCAGCAGCTCACAAAAGGCCGTTGGTTCAATTCCTACCTAAGTCAATCTATTTTTCTCAAGTAATTTTATAAAATACTCGTTCACCTAATAGACGTTGCTGGACTAAGGCCTCGCCCAAAGATTTCCATAACGACCGGCCTTGAACTGCCCGCATTCAGGTACTTCCCGCGACCTTCGCCAGATCGTTGGTCCACCTAACAGTACATCTTCCGACCCGTGGTCATCACTCTAGAACTTTCTGCCCCAGCGGCCATCAGCTCTACAATCTTTATGCTCCGCCCACTGCTACTTGATTTTAGCAGTTTTTAAAATGCTCACGTACCGTACCGTACATACCGTGCACGTGCGTACGCGGCCGGCAATGGAATGAATCCAACGTAGGGAACACCCGCGGAGGCGGCGCGGTGGCGGGCTTCGCGCGACTCGTATCTACAGTGTAGTTGAGCGGTGTGGGCGCGGCGACGGCGCGGTGACGGCACCGTGTGCAGGAACGCTAATAACTAGAGATGGGCCGACTAGTCGGGAAAGCTGACTTGTCGGGAAAGCCGACTATTCGGCATCATTTGTAGTCGGCCGACTAGTGACGACTATTCGGCAAAATATGCCGATTGTAATCGGCGCCTTCGTTCGTTCGTTTCAGCCAAATGACGTCCACTGCTGGACAAAGGCCTCCCCCAAGGTTTTCCACAATGAACGGTCCTGCGCTGCCCGCATCCAGGCTCTTCCCGCGACCTTTACCAGATCGTCGGCGCCTTACAAAATTAAATATGTGAATGAAATTATTACTATTACTTATTTATTTATTTAAAACTCATAAAATAACTACCTATGTACTTCGTCCAACAGCTTCGTAGAATGCTACGAGTCCATGTTCCCGCCTCTAATGCCGGACCCGCACCACGGGGTCGCGCTAGAGCTGCTCCTGCGCAGCGTGCCCGGGATCGAGGTCCGGGACAGCCCCTCCCGCCATCTCACTTGGAAGACTGAAGGCACCGAGACTCCGCCCACGCATAGCAATCACAGTAAGTTTATTTGTTTTGCTCTTTTATTCATGAAGATTCGATTAATTCACATACCTTTTTTGTATTGTTAACACGCAATATCCATAGATTTTGTATAGTAATAAGAATCTATGACGTCACTTGTTCGCCAAGACATTGTAGATAGTTAATGGATAACTGAATGGGGTTCCAGGGCTAAAATTAGTTTGTTTTAGTGATAACCTGTGTACGTTTGAACACCTATGTGCAAAGTGTACAAAGGCCACAGACAGAACCCATCCTTATCGCTCGCGCGTAATTATGTTGCTGTCGCGCTCGCACACTCACTGCGGGCGCCCGTCCCACATTCACGACAGCAATATAATTACGCGCGAGCGATAAGGATGGGTAGCTTGGGGTCATTGGACAAAATTCTACGTGCTCACAGACCAGACTATAGAATAGATAAGACCAAAAATGTCTCAATTCAGAGCTTCTGCAGAACATATTATTGTCTATCCAATTAGAATTATGTAAAACGTTTAAAATACGTCTCTCCAATTATAACAGAAACGTTTAAAATGTCAAAAATCAAAAATCAAAATCAAAATCAAAAAAAAAAAAATTATTCAGTTTAGACCACAAGTGGCACTTATGAACGTCAATAGAAAATAATAAAAAAAGAAAAAGGTAGCCCTTATGGGGCACTTTACATGTCTCCTTATCTTTTGGGTCCTACCAGCGCTTCGAGACAAACATATGGCAAGTGCTGAGAAGAAACGCCGGAACAAACTGTGTGTCTCCTAAACTATACACTTTATTTACTCCACAAATCTTCGTCCAGGTGAGAGCTCCCGCTCAAGCGGCGACCGTGACAGGCCGCGCACAGCGCCCGCCCTGGAGCCGATGCTGGCCTTGTTCGAGAGAGAGCTCATCGACCTGCTGCGCACAGCGCCGCGCTGCTCCATACCGTTTAGCAAGTAAGATTCACGATATACAGGGTGATTTTTTATAGTTCATCAAACAAAAGGGTGTATTCTACAACTCAAATACAAATACAGGACCAGTATTCAAATCCTAAAAAAAAAATTGACATCCCCATACTATATGACTGATTGTTGATGGTAATGATTTTTTTCGGTCCCTTGGGTAAAGATTTTGCATTTGAGCAGTAAAATCATTTTTTATATTTCATTAAAAAATAAAATACTATAATGTATTTATGCGCTGCAAATCATTTACATATAGTCAGCATCAGTAAAAGCTGACCATTTTTCATATTTATAAGGTCGAATAACATTGAGATTAACGACTTTCTGCGCACAGCGCCGCGTCCATACTGTTTAGCAAGTAAGATTGACAAATGCTGCAAACTATTCTCATAATATACGGGACTTATCTCACCACACTTCCTCATCACTGCAAGCAGTACAGTTGGGCCTCCAATGAAACCCAACCAGTGAAAGTAGTCCCATATATTGGAAATACAAACATTTCCATGAAAATTTTTCAAATAAATAAATTCTAGTATTTGAGCTCATCGACTTGCGTGTGACGTACTTGACATGTACAGTCGCGGAATGAAAAGGTTCGTCACCTTAGTGTCGGTTTTCGCTTGCACTAGGTACTGTAAGAGTCAAACCTGCCAACATAACAGTGCAAGAAACAGTGCTGCTAACATTTAAATAAATATGACGTTTACTAACGAATAAGGTTTTGCTTGTTTATTTTTCTATCCCATCAGTGCAATGCAATGATGACATTGACCAATTGACAATAGTTTTTTTTATTTAAAATAAATAATAATGGCAGGTTGAACCAACAAGAAGGTTTTAGTTTATCAATCATAATAATCTTCTTGACAAGATAAATCGTCAAACAACTTTGATCTGAATAATTTTGAACTTTACTGACGAACAGTTAAAGATTATTTTCTCTAACTCGAGATTATTCTGTAACATAGTTTCAAAAGGTAATATGTGCTCGCGATCGTTGAAGGAATCAATTTGAAAACTGACGAACCTTTTCATTCCGTGACTTTACCTACACAACCGCGTTGCTCCATACCGTTTAGCAAGTATAATTAAAGTTTGCGCTGCAAACATTTCCATATAGTTTTGCCTATAGTATCTGGAAAAAACAAAGTCAAATATTATCTTTTCTTCTCAAATTGGTTTGTTTTTTGTGTTGTAGACAACAACTTAAAATTACTTTTTTAATTTAATGAGCTTCCATTTTTATTTCTTTTTTATCAAACTTGATGTCAATGCTGCACATTTGCGAAATCGTAAATTCCAAAACCCAAGTCATCCAAAAAATAAGAAGCTAGTTATTTGAGTAAACCGTTCCTTGATTGCAAGTCAATCTCTGTACTTATTTGCCAGTCTCTTTTGACATATACGACTGTGACTATACATGTCGACTGTATAGTCACAGTCGACACTATATCAGACATTTTTGTTGCAATATAGCTCCTGTTGCAAGTTAATAAGATGCTGTAGTCTATACATGCATAATGCCAATTTGTTATTCAGATTCGCCAATATTGTTTTGAAACTGAGATTCAAAATAAATTAGATTCAGATGTGGCAATGTTTGCAGCTTGTATTTGAATTACAGATGTAACCTTTCTTGAATGACTAAGTTAGGAGCTCATGTTTGCATTTTAAAACTGCTTGCTTACAAACTCACAATCCCAGCAAATTTTAATATCCATACATCTTGATAACATAACTACAGTGTACTTTTGTTTTAGATGTTTTGTGAATTTAGTTACATAGATTATTTTGTCACCTACTTTATACGGCTTTTCATCCCGCATTTGTTTTTAGTTACTCATACATGTTCCTAACAAAAATGTGTTTTTACGCTACCTTGGATGATAGGTATGGGTTAATTTTTTATAGGCTTATCCCAGCTTTCCATCACCATTTCGGCCGGCAGTGCCGAGTGGCCGATTATGGATTCACGAAGCTTCCCGACTTGCTCGCGGCTCTGAGCAACACTATTGTGGTAAGAATGATTTTATTAATTTTATCGTGAAACTGGTTTCATCGAAAGCAACTGCATTTTTTTGTGTGTCAAATATCAATAAGATAAAAAAAATCTTTCGAATTAATTCTTAGGAAAAGTCTCATTTGATTGGCCTAATTGGAATGTAATTTTACCAATAAGGATACAAAGTCGGAGAATAATGTCGTATATCCGTTTTTCTAATGCAATCGAAAATACTTATTAAGCTTTCAATTAAACCAGTTTAAATGCCTACATAATTACATTCTTTTAACTACCTCAATTTAAGAGTGTACTGATCCGTGAATTCTCAATCCCAGGTGCTAGGCTCCGGCTCATCCCGCATCATCACCATATCGGCAGCCGCCCAAAGCCGCCGCTGGACTTCTGATCTCGTTAAACTGCTAAAAGCCCAGCCCGGCCGCTCCATTTCACCAACGGACATTCCCCAACTGTTCCACGCCACATTCGGACGGACTTTCTCTCCGGTGGACTACGGAGTTTGCACGTTGAACGAGCTCATGTTGCGAGTGACGCCGCAAGCGGTTGCTGTCGCCTCGGATGGGACCCTCTCTCTGCCGAGGCGCACTCCTACACCTGAGGAGAGAGCTCGCACTGTCCAGTTTGCTGAGCAGGTTAGTTATAGTTATTACCCATTCAAAAGCCCGGTTTCCTCCATGGCGGAGCGGAGTACAGTAGTGTTTTGGATAACCAATCAGATTTCATTATTTCCACATCTCTTCTCCAATATGCACAGTATTGCACAGCTCCGCTCCGCTTTGGTGGAAACCGTGCTAGAGGGTCCTAACGACCCCTATTACTACGCTTCTATTGCTGTATAATTTTGACATTGAATCGTCTTCTTATAAAACCTAAGATTAGGCGCACACCGTTGATTTTTAGTTGGCCGATAGTTGTGCCCGATTTTAATTTGTATGAAGAATCGGCCAAATCGAATCGGCGTAGTGTGCCCATACTGATCAACTGCCCGACTAAACTATCGGCCGACGAAAAATCAACGGTGTGCGCCTACTCTTATGGCTTATTTAGATGGCACATAATGTTTTTTTTTTTAAATACTTTTTCATAACGTTTTAGAACCTTTTCTAGTTTAAACGAAACTTACTCGTAATATGACGTCATATTCCTCGTTCGAAACTTCAAAACATGCATTTCTTCCAGGCGGTCGAACTCCTCTGCTACTCACCGAACCTACGCATGGAATTCTCCCGTTTTGTGCCAGCTTACCACGCTCATTTCGGCCGCCAGTTGCGCGTAGCCCACTACGGCTGCGTGAAGCTCGTCGAGTTATTCGAACTCATTCCTGAATCCGTCGCCGTCATGATTGAGGCTAGCGGAGAAAGGAGCGTAAGGCTGGCCACTCGAACGGCGAAGCAAGTTATGGCGCAGAGACTCAGGATCCTCGGTCCTTTGCCAGTGGCCACTTTTGCGGCGCAGTACGCGGCGCAGTTTGGAGCTCCGCCACTGGTAATTATTATTTATAACTAGCGTTTTCCCGCGGCTTCACCCGCATGAAATTTCGTTTGTCACAGAATGTCATAAATTATAGCCTATATGTTATTCTAGGTTATAAACAATAATACTGTAAAATTTCATCAAAATTCGCTCAGTAGTTTTTGCGTGAAAGAGTAACAAACATCCAGCCATCAAGACATCCAGACATTCAAACTTTCGCATTTATAATATTAGTAGGATTTTGATGTCATAGGGGCCACTTAAAATTTGGGATTGATGGTGAAAACGGGCATAAGTCGATTAGATTCTGATAAAATGTGTCTATTAAATCGTAGCTTTATTTAATAAAATCTCGTCCTTTGATTGAAAGATAAAAATCGATGGGTCCTATGTAGAAGGGCAAAAGTGCAAAATCACAACTTTACAGTTAAATCATAACTAATCTATTATGTTCAGATAACGGTAGTAGCATAGAGATCTAGAGAGATGCCAACTAATGCGCTGAGTTCGAAACCCAGTGTCGCATTAGAAATTCACATACACAAAGTAATAAAAATAAAAACAATACGTTGTGAAGAGTGTGTGTCACAGTGTCATGCACACATTGCATGTGCTCACTATCCATTGCGGTATCAGCACTCAACGTTCCAATAATCTTTAGTACTACGCAAGCAATGTAAACTGTTTACACATATAACGTCGCTGCTGTCATCATTGCTGTTACGAGCAATGTGTTCTGTTTTTTAGCATAATTATTGCTGCGACACTGGTTCCGCCCCTTTGTCACAGTTTCTGTGATCTGTGGCTAGTAGATATGCACATTACATAACACATTTGCATTTTTCTTTCAGCCGGACATCCTCGAAATGCCCACCGTGGAGGCCCTCATCTACGCAGCTGGGGGCTGCATCGAAGGCGGGATAGTGACCGGCCCAGGCGAGTCTCCCCGCTGGTGCTCCTCTGCCTTAGCCGCTTGCTCAGTCCTATCATCAGACCGAAGCGTAGCCCGGGGCTCCACAGACGACTATTTCATCAGCGCCTTCCGTCGCCTCCGCGGTTCAGACCCAGATATTAAAAACTTGGCCGCAGCTGGGATCATCATTGTGGCGGACAAATACATCCGCATCACGCCCGCTTGGCGCATAGTGTGGCGCGTAGCCCAAATCCTCGGGGAGACTGGCCCTATTACGTCTATGGAGATGTACGCGGAATACTCGAGCAGATTCGGGTCTGTGTTCCCGGCTGCTGAGTTGGGTGAGTGACTTTCCAAATTCTCAACACAATCATAGCATAATGATTTTAATTTTATTTATTATTTACTTTCGTAGAAATCTGATGTTTTTTTTTAGATATTTCTGATGTGATAAAGATTTAAATTAATCCAAATTGAAAAAGCATAACTAAAACATACATACTTTAGTACTAGTTCAATTCACTAGTAGATGCTGGCAAAAATAAGTCGCGCTCAAAGATTTCGTTGCAATACAATGAGGGTTTTCGCGATTGAAAAATCCGCCAGATGGCAATACGTAGACGGGAGGTCCAAATGCTGCATGATTGGTTATTTTTGACATGACATTGACAGATATTCAAAATCCACCAATCATGCAGCATTTGGACCTCCCGTCTATGTATTTCCATCTGGCGGATTTTTCAATCGCGAAAACCCTCATTTCTTAGGGGTTCTCTTTTCTTGGGGTTTGAGATTTTTTCTCTAGCACATTTCCAGCAGAGTAACTAATTTGTTTCCAGACATATATGGCATAGCGTAGTTGTGATTGTGACATAGCCAACGCATTTAGCAATACATTCTATAATTTCCTTCCAGGCCTGGACGGCATAGGCGACTTCTTGCGTCAGTACCGCGAGATTTTCTACGACGCCGCCGGCGGCCGCTGGGGGCTTTGCCCCGGCGTCGTTGTGCCGCGCTGCCGCGAGTTGCCCGCGCCAGAGGACTACTCGGTGCACGACACGCCCCCGGGACAGAAGGTACGTCATTAAGTTGATAGCCATATGGTTCAAATTGCTCTTATGTTAATACATATTCGCTGCACGATACGACCCCGGGATAGAAGGTACGCCGATATAGATCGTTTCATCCACGAAGACGCCCCTCCATTCTTCCGCTCATGTTTGAGTGTTATCGGTACACGTTAAATCGTCCATGAGTGCACACGCACACTACAATAATGACGCTCGGATTGCTCGGATCAAACTCCCCGCACCCCGCGCCTCCCTTAACCAAAAATTCCAAAAACGTCTTCGTGGATAAACGAACTATAACTCGTTAACCATAAGGTTCAAATTCCTCCTACTTTAATACATACTGAATGCACGACACGCCCCCGGGACAGAAGGTACGCAAGTCATGAACTACAAGGTTTTAATTACTCCTACGCCAATGCGTTCGCGTTTACGGAGATATATTGCAAGACGCACCACGGTGATGCAAATCATTGCGTGTATAATATCGTTGGCAGCACATGTACCTACTACACTCTATACATACGTCGATCATGACGACATTTATGCTTGTTTAGCCTTTGTACAGAATCAGAATTACCTTCCTAGTGTTTATTGACAGATTTGATGATTTTAGTTTATATTAACAAGTTTTCCAAACAAATATTTGTTTTTCGTTACATTTGCTTTTACAAATAACTGCGAAACAAGACATTAATGCTTGGATATATTTTATTTCAGGGATCAAGGGTGTTCGAGTCACCTAAGAACAATATTTGGTGCTCGCCTCCGGCCAGCGCTCTGCCGGCGCCCACCGCTCTGCTCTCGCAAGAGAAACGTAAGTTTTTACAGGCACAACTCGCTGCAAAGCCACTTCTTGAACTACTGAGTCGTCTAGTTTAAACGTAAATACTATAATCTATTTTACTATAAAATACAATAATCATACTTTTACATACACGCAATATTGTTTACATTTTACCCATATAAACAGGTACATTGGATCGTTTGCCGAACGCGCACACGGCCTACTATCGTTCTGTGTACATCAGAACGTATTGTCAACGCGTTTGATCAGAAGCGTCTTCCGTTATTCCGGAAGACAATTTCGAAAAGTTCAGTTCTATCGATCTCTCTCTCTCAGCTCGAGATGCTGAGTTTTTTTAAAGAGATATTTATTGTGTAGTAGAGTTCTAATCAATAGTGTTGATAAAACTTTTGGCGTAGGCTCTAACTGATCAGTCTTCATCTGTTATTGCAATAAAGACTATTTTCCAAGCGGTCGGCCGACGACCCAGTGTAATCCTTCATTCTTCTTCTCAAAAATGACTTCGGTGTTGTCATTTTAACACATTTTCGCTTGACAGGTCGCACTCGCCTGGCCGCGCATTTCGATGCACAATAACCGTTACATTCACCATTCCCTATGCTACTAAGCGAAGATGCATTCCTTTCCAAACATTTACTCTAATGAAGTGAAGATTGCATGTGTTCGTATGATGAATGGAAGCTATCAAAGGATTGTTCCCAGGGTCGAAACGAATTTTATTACATAGACTAATAAAAGTGTCCTGAAAATTGTGATGTCTCTAACAATAATGTTTTAGATGGCGTATATTTTTGTGTGTTTATTTAGGTTAAGAGAGTAATGTTCAGAGCATTCGAAAAGTGTTATGGAGTGTTGTTGATACGTCTCGAAGGCCGCGATACTCGGAGGCTTGACGTGATCGAATCACAGTCCTCGTCGCATAAACCCCGGCGTAGATCGTAACGATATATTACCATAACAACGTGTATGATACCTATATATTTTATTAGTACTTAATTTCTATTTATGTTCTAGTCTTTCCCTACCCAATCAGTTTATAATCTACTTTAGATTGATTGGGATTCATGGTTGTATATAGCTTAAAATTTGATCAATCTTTATTTTATCTTTTGACATTTTTATTTATTATTTATAAGGTTAAATATGTGCAAAGAAGGACTGAAACATAATACTTTAGAAATTGGATAAAATTCCAGAAATGGTATGTATTTATTTGTTGTTTAATTTCTTTGTGTTATGAAATTATATCAATTATGATGTTTATAATGTGATTAAAGTTTATGTTTACCTATGTTTTTGCAACGATAACATAATATACATATCATCTTTATGGATCGAGGCTCAAAGTTACTTTAGGATTTAGTATAAGTTTACAAAATTAAACATATAGTTATCATATTATCACTTCAAATAACATTTTTCGAATGACACATAAAGTACAATAAATCAACATGTTGATTTTTGTCTATAAATTTTATCCTTTGATATATTGATCTCGATCTAAATGTGCATGCAATTTTGGCTTACCTTGGTTTATTTAAATAAAATATATTTAGTGGTTGTTGTTATAAGTATAATAGAAGTATTAATTTGTCTGTCCTAGAGTATCTCTTTCGAATTTATGTACTTTTAGATAACATTTACATTATATAAATGTTTCAATATGTATGTTTTGGAGATCACTCAGCACCTTGCTACACGAACCATTCAAACTGGCCTTAATATCAAATACTGTAACCATAATGTTGAGTCAATTATAGGACGTTCAAATCTTTTATAAAGATATAACCTGTAGATATAGGTTGTGTTGTGTTGCTTTGAAAGATTTATGCTTGTGCCTAAAGTGCAATGATTTTAATTTATTTGCGTAAAATTTCGAAGTTCCACATTGATAAGCAACTGTGCTCTTAGCATGGTAATTAATAATTGAACGTTTTAATACCAGTCCACAATAAGTCGGACTATAAAATGTAACTACTTAAAATTTAAATCTACTTTTGCCGTTATTATTTTAGGAAAATCATTTTAATGTATACTATAAAAATTGCGTCATATTTTAATAAGTCATCTGATTAATGTAAGGTTTAAGAAAATCCTATATTAGTTAAGGGTTTTTGCTAATGGAATTGGAATAGGATGATATTATTTTACCTTAAAACTATATAGCAATGTACAGCGGTATAGTTTACTATCTTATTTACGTTCCATTAGCAAGTAGGTCGCATAAACATCGGTCGGTCTAAAATTTGTTCAAAATGACATCCGATTTATGCTGACTTAGTATTGTTACACACCGATATTTCAAAATGTATATTATCAAATATATTCTCGACATTGTCAACATTTGGAAGTATGGTCACCGAATTACCTCCGTTAAATCTATTTTTCTATCAAGAATTCCTATTGTAATTAGATACAATTGTATCAACATACAAAGAGTGACTGATTTCCCAGTGTTAATTGTACTACATGGTGTTGCGTAAAGTTGAGAATTAATACAAAAATGTTAGTAAATATCAGGTGTAAAAATGTTTTTTTATTTGTTATATTTTTCAAATATTTTTTTCTTATTTAAGTATATTAACGTAAATATTTACGGTATTGCCAAATTTTATAAATATTAAACTAAATTCATATGGGGCAATCATTCGAATCATTTTTGTAGAAGAAATTGAAATTGAAACGATTTATTTTAGTATTGTAAGTATATCAATATAATTACATTTATGGTTCATTTATATATTTAAAATTAACAGAAACTTGCACCAATGCATTGTTACTGTGATAAATACGTACCAATGAATGCCATCTTTATCCAGTAATTTTTAGTGTTGATAATTGAATTTAAACAATCAAAAAGTACAGTATGTGGGGCTAAGAAATAATTTGTTTATTTATGTATATAGTGTACATATTACAATTTAATTAAAAAATTGGTACAAAATGGAACTCAGCCAGCAGATCTTTGTAATATTACATAATAATGAGCGTTATTAATGTGGAACGCCGATATTTTAAACCTGTTTAGAAAGTTGAATTAATGTAATATTAATTTTATATTTAGGCAGGACCTTTTTGTTGGTCGTGGAATGTATTGTTTCAATGCAATTTATTTATGGTTTATTGTATGATTGTTAACACTGCCAGAATGCATTTTTGAATAAAATCCGTTTCTCAATTGGCCAATACGTGTTTGTAGTAGTTGCTACTAGAGGTAAAGCTGCACCAAGTTGCTGAAAGGTCTAACGTTAGTAACATAAAATAATGAAATGTTTTTTCAAAGCTAAATGTGTCAAAAAGACGCAGTAGAAGGCTTTATGTGTTTTCGTATTAGGCTTTACCTAATACGAGTCTTGAATGGATTATTCAAGTACACACACAGATCTTTCAGAAACTAGGTAAGTAAGTATATAATTTTAAAAACTGTTTTATTTAATGACCGGTACTAAATATTCTGTAAAATGTAAGTTCTTAAATGTAATTGCTTTAACATAACAGCAATCTGTCCATATTTTGGAAATAAAAATTGTTATAATATGAATTGAACAATTGAATTTCTTAAGACTGTAGCAGATACATTTAAGTACTCGTAAACGAATGCTGTTTTTACTTTTATGTGACCAATTGCAAGTTTTAAATTTTATCATTAAGACTAGATACTTAAGAATTCCAAGTACAGTAAGAGAAGATGTAAAAGTAGTATTGTGTTTTTTTCTACATCTTCATTATTCTGTGATCATTAATTTCTTGTCGTAGTGAACTATAGATCAATGTACGTGCGAAAGTAGTATCTTTTGTCAGTATTGCATGAAAATTAATGTAGTGTTAATAAAAAAATAAATGTTATTTTTTGAAATTTCCTGTGTTTTAATAATAAAGAATACCTAACACACTATTTCAGAAGTAATGATTGTTAGCTAAGTCACAAAACCATGAGATATATTTTTTTGTTTTTTGCCCCAGGAATTAACATTACATCTTTAGGTGTCTTTAGTCTTCACACACAGACAAAGTCAAGAGAGATGGGCGTTGTTTTACTAATGTATTATTTACCCTGTATTATAATATAATTATATTATGACCATACATTTGTGACTAAAGGACTACCTATCTAATAGTTAGCTCTCTAATAACTCTTGAATGTATCAGATCTACCCTGATACTGTAATAAAAGGCACTGGTAGTGACATAGGTCTGTAAGAAACATAAATAAAGGACTAGATCAACAGATACCTAAAATGGTGAGTAAAAAGTAAAAAAAGATATCTCTAAACTGTATTTATTTTATGGTAAATGACAACATCTACTTATGTGTTAGGTATTGAACAAGTTACATCAGCTGTATTCAATTTAGATAGATACTTCACTTCGTTTGGTCGGACAGTGGGCCGTGGCGTCTCTCCCAGATCATGCGGTGTTTCTGCTTCATGTATGCCTTACGAGCATCACCATAGGCTCCTAGGTCACCATCTGTAACAAATTAATTATTGGTCAGTTTCTATCAAGATAAGTTGGAATATAATGGTGAGAAAAAGAAAAGGGATGTAATGGAAGAAATATTACAATTCATAATTTTATTTGAGTGTCCACAGCATGGCTTATTCCACTATTCCCCGTTGACAATCCCCGTTAATGGGCAATAGTGAACAAAAAGTTCACTAATTCCCGTTGACGGGGATTGTCAATGGGGAATAGTGGAATAAGCCCACAGCATGTTGGCTAAACTTAAAGTTGGAAAATAGGTGGTTGATCCCAGTATGACTATGACAGTATAAGCTAGAATTAACTTGATTGTTATTACACAAAATATTGTGTATAAATGTGAATAATTGAGGATTAGAAGACATTCAAAACATTGCAACTTACATTTAATAAACCAAGCTTCTTCAGCATCCTTGTATTTTTCCCACAGAGGTTTGCAAACTGTGTTCTGGTCAGGGGTCTCATACAACATACAATCTTCAAAGCGTTGACGTATAATGCCCAGAATTTCAGAATCAACAGCTCTGAAATCAATAAAAGTTAATTTATTATAAAAGAAGTATTATTCAGTATTCTATTCAATGACGGTTTTTATGTCTACACGTAGATAATTCGATCAGAAACTTTTAACTAAAGCGTAACTAACCTATCACGTTTGAACTGAGCATTGGCCTCGAAGTCACATACGACATCGTCGGTGTAGCACTGGTCGATTGTTGGCACACGGCGGTACTGCTTGTGATACCAGGGATATTTCTTCTGATTCGGCTCCACTATCCTCTCTGAAGCAAAACAAAACCATTCCAATAACACTGGCTTACATAACAACACCGATTCTTAAAAATTATTATCTCACCTCGGAACCATGTTACAGGCGAATCAATGGTGTTATAAACAGCGCTTGCAAACGCTCTAAATAGGTTATCATCGGGTTCATTTTCTTTTACCATTTTATGATTCTAAAATAAATAAATCCACTAAAATTCTTCGCAAAAGTGGTGCTCTTTTTGCTCAGAGACAGCTGTCAATTTTGACGTAAGGACGTTGACTTTTTGTTTTTTAATTGTAAGACTATGCTATGGAGTATTAAAATATAATAGATTTGTAGGGAAATAAAATTTTGATTTTTTATTCTTCTTATTAATACAATAGCAACTTCGCGGCGCCTTTTCACTTTCAGCAGCAGCAGCAGTAAACGAAAACTGGAAAACTACATCACAGCAGCTGCAAACCCAGAGGGGGTGCCTGCAGACAGACGGAGTAACATTCAATTTTGATTTGAGATGTAATTGCATTGCTAACTTCCCAAGGCGAATAAAATATTTAAGTCGTAAACTAAAGCGACTATTATGATATTACTATTAAATTCCATTTACATAATAAACAGGCATTGATATAACTCAATGTAAACAGGCTGGAATTTTTTACCACCTGAAAAAATTACCTGTCTACTTTTATTTATGGATTGCAATCCAGCGGTGTTTTCAATCCAGCTGGATTCTTGCTGGATTGACCTGAATCCAGCTGGATCCAGCGCGGATCCAGCAAAATGTGGAACGCAAATAAAATGACGACATTTTTAAGACTTTTTTTTTATTAAGTAACTAGTTTTCCGCCCACGGCTTCGCCCGCGTGAAAAAAGAGCTATTTTTAGGGTTTTCCCACTCATTGTTCGAATTTTTCTCGCCGTAAAAACCATCCTTGGACTTCAATGAACATTTAAAAAAATTGGTCCAGACGTTGTTGAGGTCTGCGCTTACCAACACATTTTGCGATTCATTACTGAGAATGCCCTTTCGGTTTCCACACTGGTCGGTTTTAGGATCATTAAATAGTGAATAGTAGAATGACCACGACAACTCTGCCACGAGCGTAACGAATAAGAAGTCATACACCATAGCAGCGTCGGACTGGCCATACAGTCGGGGTGGCATTTGCCAGCCGGGCCCCAGCCTGCGCGGGCCCCCCACGGCCTGGGTTGCGGGGCATGCGGCAACCGTAGCACAGGGGGCCCGCGCAGCGTGGCCCCTGTGCTACGGTTGCCCGCTTGCATGTCTCGGAAACTGTGCGTCGTACAAAAAAATTGTAAAGTCATAATTTGTAGAAAATTGCTTTGCCTACAAATCTGTACCCCCAGTGAAAACGGAGTTAAGTCGAAAATGGTGATTTTTGGGAAATCGCATTTGAAGTTAAAAAAAATCCTGCTTCGTCGCTATTAGAGATAACTTGGTGAAATATTTTTTAGGTGAAAGGTAATGTTAGATATAATTAGGCAGTGTGCCAGTTTGGGAAATATAGCATGTAGTTTTTTCGAAATTAAATAAAAACCCAGTTATATCGCCATGCACGGCAACTTTACATTCGTGTAAAGTGATGTAATGGGACATAAATCATTTTACACCACACTTTTTGAGCAGACGGGGGCCCCTTCCGTCGTGGGGCCCTGGGCACGTGCCCAAAGTGCCCAGTGGGAAAGAGGGGCCTGTGTAAACATATTTGTAGGCAAAACAATTTGCTACAAATTATGACACAGCGAATTTTTGTAAGACGCTTAAAAAAGTGTTTTCACCCCTTTTTTCAAGATGGCCGTTGGGGGACAAGGGTGGCGACCCCAAAAACTTGAGGTTAAGCTTCTATTGACCACATTGACCCACACATATCCCAAAAATAAAATTGCGTTCTCTAATAAATGCAATACTCGGAAAATTGCCGGAAATGATGGGAAATTTTTTTAGTCCGTAATGTTTAATATAAAAAAATATTGGACACATATATTTTTATTTGTCAATCTAACAAATAATTACATAGTTATGGTGCGTTGAAGTTGCGCACGACGTCACAACGTGCGGCATTTTTAAGCAAGCGTTGACGTCACGGGCCTCTTCTTATGAACTTTGGGGCGCTTTATCTCTTTAAATTTTCATTAGTTTGAAAAAGTGAAAAATACGTGTATTTTTTTATAAGTTAACTGACGGACTAATTAAAACTCTTGCTTTTTGACCCAGGCAACATCCCCATTCTCACAATTTCATTCACGCATGTGACTTGTGAGAGACGATTTTCAGCATTAAAGCGCATTAAAACGAGACTTCGTTCTCTACTGGGGTAAGAACTGTTAGATTCGTTAATTATACAGTGTGAGTCACGATAAAGTGTACATATGAAATTAGTTGAAACTAGAAAAAAATATAAAAAATTAAATAAAAATCTCAAAAAAATTTTGACCTGTTTTTTGTCGATAAAAATAGATCTAGTTTCACCTAATTTCATATGTGCACTTTATCGTAACTCACACTGTATTAAATACAGAATCGGATCTAATCAAGGATTACGAAAACAGCAGCTTTTACGATCGAGTCATTAACAGCTTAGCTGAAAGTTCTCCTGTTTTAAAAAAATGTTGATTGGCTAGCTTTATATTATTATTTGTTATTAGTAAATACCTACTTATTATTTTACTTTATTTTAGTATTGTAATAATTTTTTTACAGTTTGTTTATCTCAGTATTTTTCGATAGTATCCCATCACCATGATCTAGTCTCGGGCCTCGGGATTGCTATCAGCCACCCGGGCCCTTCCGGCCCAGTCCGACCCTGCTGACCATAGATAAATGTTAACCTCGCACTCGTTCGGTCTCATATACGCTCATTTCTTTTTTCAGTACCTTTTCGTAATCTAATTGACCACTTGGCTTTGGCTTTTGTTTATTAAAGTTCTCCTTCTCTCTTTTAAGTTCCATCTCAAGCTCTTGCCTTGAAGTCATTTTACGTACCAGTAACTTCGGAGAGGCGCCGTTCAACGCACAAAACAACAGAACGGCAACGTCACCGCGCCGTTTTGAAAATGGCGGCAATTCGAAACTAAGCAATAGAAAATTATACGTTTGCGGACCCGCATCGCTGGATCCAGCATGTTTAAAAAGGCGCTGGATCCAGCTGGATTGCTGTATGCTGGATCCAGCAATTGCAATCCCTACTTTTATTGCATCGGTTGGGTAAAAGCATGCAATCTATTCTAACAAACTTGATAAATCAAATTATTGAAAGGAAAACCATGAAATTTAAAATTTTATTATTTTATTGATTTAAAATAGACGGTACGGTATGGTAGTGAATTTTCGAAAATTTTCTCTTTTCAAAATAAAACAATGTTTCCTTTGAGTAAAATTGTACCTTACAGTATTTTACTATTTATTAGTATTTTCCCTTTTAAATTCCACCCTATTTATTGTGTATTCTTAAGTTCTTTAGACAAAAAATCTTACTGTGTCCGCCCGACAAGAGAAATCGATTTTTTTCAAATTACAAAAACTGTTTTTCTATAAGTCTCTCGATGTGCTGTTTGTTGAATTGGTTCATAACGAACTACCTACTATGCCAGAGGTCGCGGGTTCGATATCGATACCCGATTTCCATAGTAGATACAAGCTTCTTTAAAGCTTTGCTTGGTTTGGGACTAGGGTTGCCAGGTCCAAAATCATAAAAGCCGGACTTTGTGCTTCATTTGGCCGGACATTTTACCCTAAAAGCCGGACATGTGAATGTGCAATTAGTGTCAGCTCATGAGTGAGTACTATCATCATCGGTTGCTAACCAACATCCTGATGCGTGCGCTTCATAATTATGATTATGTGGCTCGACTTTCGCCTGGCGCGGCAACCAAATAAAAAGCCTAACAAAAGCCGGACAGGCCGGACAAGGCAATATTTGGCCGGACAAGACCCTAAAAAGCCAAACATGTCCGGCTAAAGCCGGACGCCTGGCAACCCTATTTGGGACTAGATTGACTTGGTTAGATGGCGCATTATAAAAAGTGTTCAAGGATATTTATTTATTTTATGCTGTCTACTATCGATAGTCATAATAAAATTATACTTGTTTGAAGGGAGGGTATAGTGTTTATGTTGCTATTGCCTGTTAGTTCTCGTTGTGTTGCATACGCGTTCATATAAACGTGAGCTTTATTTACTGAGATGCGCTGCAGTGGCAAAGAAGGATGTTGACTGCATTACAGAGACGAGGGTAGAGTAGTAGCACAATTGTTTGATAATTTTGTAAATGTAGATCTTATTTCATTTACATAATAATTGAAAGAAATATTGTCGTAAGAGGTCTTTTAAGAAGTTTCCTGTTGGCCATCGGACGGCTAAACTTTGACTACAGGCAGAGTTGATGTTGTGTGACAGGACAGGATTTCAAGCCTCAAGTCATTGAACGGAGGGCGGGCGGCTAGGGCGCATGCGCGCAGGACCCCGAGTTGCCAGTCAATAGGGGTTCGGTTGTTGTGGTGGAAATTGTGAAAACATTGGCTTACATTCAAAACAGTCCACCACAAAAATACTTCATTAACCTACCGCGTTTCGTCCGCTAATGTTTATATCGTAAGATTTTAGTCCAAATTATGGAGTACTCACCAATTTAATAATTTAGGACATATAGGGTAGTTGACGCTTACTAATTTTCTACACGATGTGAGACAAATCTAAGCCTCAGTACGCGTGTATTTACGGCGACAAAATGTGTGTGTTTGCCTCGTTTAGCCGCATTGATAACACGGTTGCATGAATGGAGTAACGGTGAATCAGTGCAGTGTAAATAAAGTTCGCCTTGAACTTGCAACCCAGTTAGTTGATTTCTGTCAGTCGTCCATTGCGCGTCACGTCAGTCGGGGATCTGTCGTGCGGAATGCGGATCGCTAGCAGCAGTATGGCGCGGGCCTGGTGACAGCCTCAGTCAGTCGCGTGGCGCGAGGGCGGCCGCGAGGTGCTCATGCGAGAGAGGCGCCGGCACGATGAGGTGGCGGGCGCGCGCGGGCCCCTACCGCGCCAAAGAGCGCGCCAACATCAGCTTCTTCATATTCATCATGTTCTTCGCTGTCTGCGGCGTGATAGTCCTCACGCAGCTCCTGCTCCTCGAGAGGCCTAACGCCGCCGGCTCGTCCCGCTCCCGGTACAACGAGGAACTCCAGGTTAGTGCCAAATTTGACGATGCGCAGTCGGTCGTAAATCATGTTTACAATTTTATCTACCGTTTTCTTTGTTTGTGTATACTCAAATGATTAGACCAACAAACGGAGATAGCTAAAATACTTACTAATCATAATATTGACATTACATAGCTACTGTGTTTGCTTGAAATACAGGAAGATTTCCAGTTTCCCACGTTTATCTTAAATACACGTTTGTAGAGGTTCTAATGGCATGTTGGTAGCCAAACCTTTTGTGAGGTTTTATTATGTAAATTGAATTGATGTGATCAGTGTAAAAATAGATCGGGAAATTGTCGCACGAGATTGTTATTTTACGTGAAACTCTATTGACTCAGAGCAAAAACACTTGGAATGGATGAGGTGATTGTCCCGCTAATATAAATTTATGTAACACTCAAGTTGCTACCGAATTAACGTAGATAACGTATCAAGAAAAGATAAACGAAGCAAGAGCGAGGGAAGACGACGAGTTAAAGCTCATCGAAGATAAGAACGTTAATTGCCCTCAATAAATACCGAGTGCTTTTGGAGTGATACCGATACATGATAATGTTAATATCCGTATACGTAGGTACCTATTTACATCGTTAATACTCTCTAAATGATCATCAAGTAAAAATGTGCTCATTATGTTTACGTCTATTCGTATTCCAAAGATGGTTTGTATTGGCCTGAACAAAAGATTACAGCTTCGTCATCTTTTCATCATTAAACTGAAATTTGTCACAGTCACACTGCATTCATACCAATTATGATTCTTACCACTGTTTTAATACTTACGTATTCAAGTTCTCAAATAACCTGGATAAGATTACTTTTTAAATCGGTAAATATTTTCGAAAAAGCGGATTAGCGGACTTAAATATTGGATAAGGAAGAAACAACAGGATAGACGCCATGCATTCGATTGTTTAGGAAATATGGTTGGTGCATATTTCAGTTTATAATTGAATCATAGATACAACCAACAGGTAAGTATCCCCAGAATAACAGACATTTGACATTATAGGTTTCTTTGAACGTGACCTTTTAAATCAGCTGTGGCCGGTGGCTCTAGCTTGATAAGCAAAGAATAGCGATTTTTTAACCATTGACTTTTGCACCCTCTATCTCGAAATTTTCTTATTACTATCACATTTCGTTTCATTTCGTGTTTTGGATAGAGTGCGCCATTTTCCTAGACCGTAGAGCGATTGCTCCTTTCGCTTGCCTAGCTCTATCGTAGAGCTAACTTGTGAATTAATTATTAGCGGCGATGGAATCGACTATACGTCCCTGAAATGGATACATTGCAAGCTGCATTTCTTTGATTTGCATTACGGATTTGGACTATTTCGGAAGACGAATTCCATGTTTTACTATCCTTTTCAAAATACTGTCATGATTAAGAGCGATGATGTTCAGAATTGAGGCTAGGCACTACACAAAATGTACATCTATATACTTAGACCCTAAAAGAAAACAAAAACTGGTTGCTAATTTTGTATTTATACTATGTCGCATGTGCTGCTATGTAATCTACACTACAGGTCTGTAAAGTGAGATATGAATACCTAAATATACCTAACGTATTGTTTAATTAGCATAAATAATTCACAACAATCCATTTATCGCTAATTAAGTAGTCTCTACGTGATTCACGGACGCTATGCATTATGTAAATAACTATGACTGGACAGCTTTAACCCTCGCTGTACGAGGTGGGGTGTGACACACCCCAGGCCTTTAAAATACGCCATAATTTAAAAAATTTGCAAGTACTAAATTTGAAATTCTCAGTAGCTGGAATTATGGCGCTGCTGCTTCGATCAGCGTTACAATATCAGTCCAGCGGTGAATACCAACTGAGTTACATGCCTTTAAAGTGCGTGTGGGTGTCACACACCCCACCTGGTACGGGACGTTGTTAAAAAAGTTAAAAAATAATATAACAGTTTTGGTATAATTTATATATTTTTAGCTTTGTTAATTGAATAAAATTCAATACAAATAATATTTTTCGTGATGTTCACGGAATCTGAAATTTTCAAGCACTTTTAGTCAAATGAGATTACTTTTAGTGCGAATCTGGAAGTTTAGTACTGAGATCCGAAGATCTATGTGAACATACACTTATGGGCTACAATTTATACTTGGTGATACAATTTATGGGTTACTGAAATGGAATAGCCCATTTTATGCATTGAGCATACTCATTTTCTTTCATCAGAATTGTAGTAAATTGAAAACCTATAATCAAAATAAATTTATACCCTTCCAGTTTTTAATTTACTTTTCAATTATAAGTAAATATCTTGTACTTTGTTAAATAAAACGGTTGTCATAATTAAAGGCACTAATTAAAAATTATACATAAGAAACTGATTCCTCAATTACAAGACCAACAGAAATTGTGTCTTTTTGTTATTGTTGATAAAAATGTTATAATACACATTTTCAGCTCAGAGCTTTTCTTACACCTAATTAGCATACGTAAATAATCAATATTAAATATGAAATTCCACCAAAAGAAATGTTCAATACAAATTTTATCACTTTGTATATTGGGGTATGTCATACCCCACCTGGTACGGGACGTAACTTTTAGTCACCTCGTACACTGAGGGTTAAGGTTTAAATTGTTCATACGCGCACATCGAACTACAGATAATGGAGGGAAACTTGGGATACACTGGACATGGATCGGCGAACGTGGGCGAACAATGTTCGCAAGCAATGTTCAATTCTAATCGACTCCTGGATTTTAATATCTCCATAACGAGCAGCTGTATCAAGTAACTTCAATTATTAGCTGTCTCGAATTACATCCAATTTCACAGTCCACCATTTTATTTCTACATACCGAAAACCTACAAGATACTTTCATAAAATTATATCTTCCTTTAAGAATTTATATGTTAAGCCGTTTTATGAGTTCCTAAAATATAATACAGCTCGGGGTATTTTCCAGGGACTAATAATCTATACTTATAATAAATCTGTAGAGAGGTCAATTCTGTACATGAAATATATTTTCAAAATAACTATCAGGGGGTGATTAGTGATCGATACTGATGCCAAAAATGCAATCAGTAAAATTTTTGTCTGTCTGTCTGTCTGTCTGTCTGTCTGTCTGTCTGTCTGTCTGTATGTTCCTTATAGAAACAAAAACTACTCGACGGATTTTAACGAAACTTGGTACAATTATTCTTCATACTCCTGGGCAGGTTATAGGATACTTAGGAATTCCCACGGGAACGGGAATCAGCGGGAAAATCCTTTTGTATGAAAAATCTAAACCGCTTAAGTTAGACGCTTGAAATTTGGCATGCAGGTACCTCAGTAAACTTAAAGCTTAGTTACAACAGGATATTGCAAAATTCCCTCGGGAACGGGAGTTAGCGGGAAAAAACATTTGTATGAAAAATCTAAACCGCGTAAGATAGACGCTTAAAATTAGGCATGCAGGTACCTTAGTAAACTTAAAGCTTAATTACAACAGGATATTGCAAAATTCCCACGGGAACGGGAGTTAGCGGAAAAAAATATTTGTATGAAAAAATCTGAACCGCGTAAGAAGGGGGGGTAAAACGAGATCCACGCGTACGAAGTCGCGGGCGGCCGCTAGTAAATGATAATAATGGAAAAGCTAGACGAAAACGAAAGAGCGACGTCGCCGCCACAAAATGGCTCGGCTGAATCCTTTGACAAGTTTATACCTGGATATAAAAGTTGATATTTGATGAAACATGACTATTATAATAATATTTTGTTCTGAAAATTGACATAAAAATAAAAATACAGCTAGAAATCTTTTAGAACCTATAGAGTCCAAAATGGGCTTTTATAATGTAATACATACATAATGTCTATACTTATTTTTATTTCTTACATTTAATGAGCATAGCATAGAATAGCATATCTTTGCTGTGCCGTGTGTGCACGGTTGCGGAAAAGTTGTATCTGTAGTTGCTACTAATTGTAGTCGACATCACATTAGTCTAGTCATTTAGTACAAAATAATGGCTTTACCTGGAAAGTTTTCCGAAATCTGAAATCTGCTACTAGGCAGTATTTTTCCAATATGGCGGCGAAAGCGGCAACCATACGAGGTCGCAAAGTTGAAATTCGTAAAGAGCACATCTATAAAATACCAAATTTCATTACTCCCGGAAAACTTTCCAGGTAAAACTAATGACTGGACTACATCACCTATACATTTTTGTTGTAAAAGATCAGCTATTACAACTACATGACATAATACAGAGCCTTAATGTCCCAGTCCAAAGCCACAGAAAACTTTGGGCAGCCCAATTAGGTTGTCTGGTATATGAATCAAAACCACATGACGTCATTGTTCCCTTGTCCTTCATCGTAAGTAGCTTTTTATGTTTGCGAAAGTAATGCTCACATTATCCTTTAGTTAATAGGTACCTCTAGACTGCGTGAGTTATGTACCTACCCTTAATTACGGTAGTGCGTGCCGCTAGCTGTGATCATGTGCCAGTAAAAGTTGTGTTAACAAAACACTAAAAATATCACGATAGTCGATACTAGACACCGATTTTCAATATACCTAGACCTAGATTCAGTTCTTATTTCAACATTGAATATCTTTAATTCCTGTTCGTCGACTATGTTTCATATTACTTCATCATTATCAGGTCAAGTCTCCAGGAGGACGACTCTCTCTAATGAACCAGAGGATTTGCACTTAGCACACTAGGTAGGCTCAATTTTCCAGAATTTTCCAAATTCTTCATCTACTATGAGTAGAAATTCTACCTTTGACAGAAATCATAAATAAAAATTGTTTGCAAGAAAGGTGGGCTTAGTAACTATTGAAAATAACCTCTTGATCTAAATCACTGATTCGTAAAAATTCAAGAATAGATTCTCCGTTTTTTGTCCGGGATAAGAACTTGGAAGAACTCTTGTTCGTTGAAGGGGAAGAATCATTAATCAAGTCAGACTAGTCCATATATGGTTAGATATAGAGA